TATCACTGATGAATATAGATGTAAAACTTCTCAACAAAATACGAGCAGACAGAATGCAACAACACATTAAAAGGATCATACACCATGATCAAGTGGGATTGATCCCAGGGATGCAAGGATTTTTCAATACACACAAATCAATCAATGTGATACACCATCTTTAACAATATCTTAAAAACCATGTGATCATCTCAATAGATGCAGAAAAGCTTCTGATAAAATTCACCATGCATTTATGATAAAAACTCTCCAGAAAGTGGGCATAGAGGGAACCTACCTCAACATAATAAAGGCCATATACGACAAACCCACAGCAAACATCATTCTCAATGGTGAAAAACTGAAAGCATTTCCTCTAAGATCAGGAACAAGACAAGGATTTCACTCTCGCCACTATTATTCGTTTTGGAAGTCCTACCCATGGCAATCAGAGAAGAAGAAATAAAAGGAGTACAAATTGGAAAAGAAGTAAAACTGTCACTGTTTGCAGATGACATGATACTATACATAGAGAATCCTAAAGATGCCACCAGAAAACTACTAGAGCTAATCAGCGAATTTGGTAAAGTTGCAGGATACAAAATTAATGCACAGAAATCTCTTGCATTCCTAGAATAAAATACCTAGGAATAAACCTACCTAGGGAGACAAAAGACCTGTATGCAGAAAACTATAAGACACTGATGAAAGAAATTAAAGATGATACCAACAGATGGAGAGATATACCATATTCTTGGATTGGAAGAATCAATATTTTGAAAATGACTATACTACCCAAAGCAATCTACAGATTCAATGCAATCCCTATCAAATGACCAATGGCATTTTTTACAGAACTAGAACAAACAGTCTTAAAATTTGTATGGAGACACAAAAGACCCCAAATAGCCAAAGTAGTCTTGAGGGAAAAAACAGAGATGGAGGAATCAGATTCCCTGAATTCAGACTATACTACAAAGCTACAGTAATCAAGACAATGTGGTACTGGCACAAAACCAGAAATATAGATCAATGGAACAGGACAGAAAGCCCAGAGATAAACCCACGCACCTATGGTCAACTAATCTATGACAAACGAGGCAAGGATATACAATGGAGAAAAGACAGTCTCTTCAATAAGTGGTGCTGGGAAAACTGGACAGCTACATGTAAAAGAATGAAAGTAGAACACTCCCTAACACCATACACAAAAATAGACTCAAAAGAAAGTAAAAGAACACTCCCTAACACCATACACAAAAATAGACTCAAAATGGATTAGAGACCTAACCGTAAGACCAGACACTCTAAAACTCTTAGAGGAAAACATAGGAAGAACACTCTTTGACATAAATCACAGCAAGATCTTTTTTGATCCACCTCCTAGAGTAATGGAAATAAAAACAAAAATAAACAAATGGGACCTAATGAAAATTAACAGCTTTTGCAAAGCAAAGGAAACTACAAACAAGATGAAAAGACAACCCTCAGAATGGGAGAAAATATTTGCAAACGAATCAACAGACAAAGGATTAATCTCCAAAATATATAAACAGCTCATGCAGCTCAATATTAAAAAAGCAAACAACCCAATCCAAAAATGGGCAGAAGACCTAAATAGACAGTTCTCCAAAGAAGACATACAGATGGTCAAGAAGCACATGAAAAGCTGCTCAACATCACTGATTATTAGAGAAATGCAAATCAAAACTACAATGAGGTATCACCTCACACCGATCAGAATGGCCATCATTAGAAAATCTACAAACAACAAATGCTGGAGAAGGTGTGGAGAAAAGGGAACCCTCTTGCACTGTTGGTGGGAATGTAAATTGATACAGCCACTATGGAGAACAGTATAGAGGTTCCTTAAAAACTCAGAACAGAATTACCATATGTCCCAGCGATCCCACTACTGCGCATATACCCAGATAAAACCATAATTCAAAACCACGCATGCACCCCAATATTCATTGCAGCACTATTTACAATAGCCAGGTCATGGAGGCAACCTAAATGCCCATCGACAGATGAATGGATAAAGAAGTGGTACATATACACAATGAAATATTACTCGCCATAAAAAGGAATGAAACTGGGTCATCTGTAGAGACGTGGATGAATCTAGTGACTGTCATACAGAGTGAAGTAAGTCAAACCGAAAAACAAATATCGTATATTAAAGCATATATGTGGAACCTAGAAAAATGGTACAGATGAAATGGTTTGCAGGGCAGAAATAGAGACACAGATGTAGAGATGTATGGACACCAAGGGGGACAAAGTGGCTGGGGGGGGTGGGGGTGGGGGTGGTGGGATGAATTGGGAGATTGGGATTGACATGTATACACTAATAAGTATAAAATGGATAACTAATAAGAACCTGCTGTATAAAAAAATAGATAAAATTCAAAAAGAAATAAACTTAAGGTTGATGTTTAAAAAAAAAATGCAGAGTCTGATTCAGCAGTTCTGGGGTGGGGCCTGAGATTCTGTATTTCTAACAAGCTCCCAGGTGATGACAACATTTCTAGTTCATGTGAGTAGCAAACATGAATAGGTCTGTGTAGACAGGAGGCTGGAAAACAGGTAAGGGATACATCACACAAAAGCCACACTGAGGAGTTTGGGCTTTCTCCTTAGTGCATTGGGGAGACACTGAAGAACTTTAAGTAGGAAAGGGATACATCATATCTGCAGTTTTAAAAATGACTCTGGGGCTTCCCTGGTAGCGCAGTGGTTGAGCGTCCGCATGACAATGCAGGGGACGCGGGTTCGTGCCCCGGTCCGGGAAGATCCCACATGCCGCGGAGCGGCTGGGCCCATGAGCCATGGCCACTGAGCCTGTGTGTCCGGAGCCTGTGCTCCGCAACGGGAGAGGCCACAACGGTGAGAGGCCCATGTACCGCAAAAAAAAAAAAAAAAAAGGGAAAAAAGACTGTGGTTACCGAGTACGTGTGTGTATGTGTTTGGGGGAAGGGTGTGTGTGCACAGCACATTCTGCTCCAGAGACATAGTAATGTCTAGCCCTAGAGAAGTCACCTATAAATTCTTGGTCAGATGTGAACAGAAGCAGCAGCCAGTGGGGAAGCAGAATGGTAGGCAGTGGTTCTGAAACTTGAACAGGCAAGGAAATCACCAGGAAGGATTATTAAAACAGATTCCTGGGTCTAACCCCCCAGAATGCCTTCTTCAGTAGATCTGGAGCAGCGCCTGAGAATCTGCACTTCTAACAATTTCACAGGAGATGCCGGTACTGCTGGTCTTGTCTTGGGATCACACTTTGAGAACCACTGGTGTAGTGGAAAAAGCACAGGCTTTGGGGGCCATACAGATATGAATTCAAAGCCCTGACCCACCACTTCCTAGCTGTGTGACTTTGGGCAAGTTTTTTAAACTCTTTGAGTCTCCGGTTTCTCATTTGTAAAAAGAAAATAGTAAAATAATACTAAACTCATGGCAGGATGGTTGAGTGATGATGGTGGTAAGGATTAAGTAAAGTACACAGAGTGTGTGCTTGATAAGGCAGAGTGGCTTTGCTCTGGGCTGCACTGGAAGGCAGGACCAATTAAAAAACGAAAACAAAACTGTGAGATGAGAAAACATGTATTGTTTTAAGCTGCTGAATTTGTGGTCATCTGTAACATGCAGCGATAGAAAAAAATAATACAAAGGATAAACACAAAATTCCAGGAAGGGATATGTCTGAAATATTCACTTTTTTTTTTTTAGGTAGCTGAAATTAGGTTTTACGGGGATCCAATTACTGAAATAAGGAGTCATTCGTGCTGTCAATTCATTTTATCATTCCTGCTTTAGTCATCTGACACATAAGCAGTTGATTTCAATCCTGAGCCCCACAAGAGCAAAGATACACTACGTACAGAAGACAAACTGGAGTGCTCGTGGAGTTTCTAATGCCCAATAAATCAGTGTTCCACTAAATAACAATTTCTTACTCCTCTTGACAGTTTAGAGAGTAAAAAAGGAAAAAAATTAACCAAGAGCACCCTTTCTGATAAATAACAAACTATCAATTATGTGTAAACCAAGATGGTAAGATGATCATCGATGGATTTTTATACATGCCATCACAGCACTTTCTCCCTCCCATAAAACCTAACCCTATACACACCAACTGCTGCGCTCCTTCTTGCTAAATCCAAATGTGTTACAGACTAGCACGAGCTGCTTAGCCACCACTCAGCACTGCAATGTCCAAGGATCAGACTGCTAAAACTGATGGAATTAGCATTCAAAGCAAGGCAGCTGACGGCACAGACTTCCGTCAACTGCCACCTCCCTCTCATTCATACAGCAGCTCCCCTGGTTAACCTACAAGGAGAGGAGCACGTGCTTTTCTGCTCGTGACGCTGCATGTCTTAGAAGCTCCTAACTTACTGCTTCTTGCTGATCCTGACTGGCTCCCTGGACCTCTGGCATTCATCCTATGACCTTTATCATTTATTTACTACACATATACCTTGTTTATGTCCAAAAATGTTCTGACGGCTCTAGCTTGTGGTTTCTTACTTGCCCTTTGGCTCAGACATATTTAGATGCTGGCTGTTCACTGACTTTCAGACCCTCCTGATCAATTTCTGGGATCTGCCTGCCAAGAAACTGTTGCTTATCACCTGCTCACTGCCCATGCCTTTGGCCTGTACCACCTAGTTTTTGGATCTTTATATTTCTTGAACATCTGCTATTGACCTGGCTCCAACATGACATCTGTTCTTACCAGTTCCTTCCTCTAGCCTTGAGCAGAAAAGCCTTATAATTAACTAAATAAGGTTTGAAAACTTGGTTCACATACTGGTTTAATTTCCTAAATGCTACTAAGCGAGACAGATTTACCAAATGTTACTGAATTAACACAAGAGGAAGTACATGGATTCACCTGAATGTGCCTTTCTAGAGACAAAATAAATCTACTAATAAGGTAATCACCAATCTCAACCAATCTGACAAAGTATCACAACCCTGAAACAATAAACTAACGTTTTACTTCCAATTCTTACCCGCTGCAAAAACTCAAGAGGACTGTATTTGGGCCCCAAGACGAAAATTTTCTTTCCTCTTCGAGCCACGCCACTGAATACTCGAGCAAATGCAATAAAAGGTTCTCGGTCATTTCCTTCCTGGGGCACAGGTTTAGGGGTCTCACTCTCCACCTCTTGCTCATCACCTGCCAGAAGCCAAAGGATAATGAGTGCCAGGAATGCTCTCTCCAATCCAGGGACTGCTGAGAAACTCAGAGGGAACAGGGAATATGCTATATTCAGCCCAGTTTCAGCAAGGAAACGCCAAGAATGAAAGTATACTGATAAAAGCTACCTTTAAAGTTAAAAAGCCCAAGAGCTAAAGGATGAGTGTCCCAAGTTAAGTAAAAATCCCGGCTCACCAAAGCCTATTTAGGAAAGCTATACCTTTCAGCTCTTCTCCCTGTGGACTCGTTTCAAGGGCACTCCCGTCCTGGGTGGGCTCCAAGGGTGCTTGGCCCTGCGCGGCTGCCAGCTTCTCCGCGTGCCTTCGTCTTGCACGCTCATGCCTCTCGGCAATCTCCTCCTGAGTGAGAGGTCTACAGGATACCACAGACACGTTAACACCTGGCAACATCAAGCATCTCTCAGTCTCTTCAAGTAGAGAAACAGCAAGTATTCACGTGGTTGGAGAAGATGACGGTTGGTTCCCAGTCCCTTCTGGGCGGAAGGTTTCTCCAAGTTCTCTCCCTCACTGCAGCAAGAGGAGAGAAGGCCTATCGGGCTTTCTCTGAGAATGCTGCATCCTCAGCTAGTCTGAGCTTATGAACTGACATGCGAGAGCCCACGTCCCCACACAGAGCCACACACAACAGCACGGAAGCTTTCTTAGGTACCGATGTTCCTCCTCAATAAGGCAAAGGACAGGAAAAGGAAGGGTGTGAGTAACAGACACCGGGGCTCAGAATACCCCTGTAGAGAGACAAGCATAAGACTTCAATGAGAAACTGAGGTTTTCTCCTCAAGTACAAAAATATATCTTCATGGAGAATTGGGGTCCAAGAAGAAGGGTCAGGCTGAATGCTGGCAACTCATCAGGATGAGGTCAAATAGTGATTATCAGTCATTGTGTTAGACCCAAGTACCACCAGAGAAAAGGCAGTGCGTGGGTGTGTCTGGCTGTCTGCTGGGGGGTTCATCTGGGGGGTGGGTCACGTTGCTTGATCCTGTCACTTTGTGCCTGCCTCCCCTGCTGTCCCCCACTGTGATTTTATGATTCCTGCTTCACCCCCTGGTCTCTGACTTGACACCTGGCTGATAATCGCGTCTCCCAACCTGCCATTCCCCATTCCCCTTCTCTCTCCTTAAGCACTAGAATCCATTCAGATGGCCATTCTGAGAGTGCACTGTCCACTGTGCATGGCCACATGCTCTTAAGAGATCCTGATGTCAGGTACCCTAAAACCCCTTTTTACTTTGTGTGGGCTACCCTGGGAGGTGAACGCTTAAGTCACTGACTGTCCACTGCTATCCTCTTCAGACACCTGCCTGCTAGACAAGACCTCCCACTAGGGCTGGACACCAATGCTAGTCCCTTAGCACCTGCCCCTCGAAATCGAAGAATTCAGTTCTAGGAGTCGGCCCCTTCTAGTCAGACCCATCCCAATGCAGGTGGTAGGGCTGTGCCGTAAGACACAAAAAAATGAGAGCGCGACCTTTGAGAAGTATGACAGCACTTCTTCAGAAGTAATATTTATATCCGTTCTCTCAGGTTACTTGAAAAATTGTTACACAGAATGCCTCCAGAGTAGCTGTGGATAGCACAGAAGAGGAGCTTCCAAGCTCCTATATCGAGTGAATCTTTTCATTCCAGACACCAAAATCATACTGAAGGAAGGATGGCAAATGGACTGGCAGAGTTAGATACTGGGGCAGGGGAACCAGCTAGGAGACTGCTGCAATAACTTTCACAAGAAATGATCGGGATCTAATCATTTATACTAGTGAGGGGTGGGGGGCAGTGCAGGTGGGAAGGAGGGGAAGACACATGACCACCTCATACGATGTAGAATAGATCCTCCAAGACTCTGCAAACTTGAGAAATGAGCCATCTCCCTCCACACACGCACAATACACACGAAGATCAGCAGAGATACTCACCCATCCAACAATCTCTACTGGGGCAGACAAGACAGGCTCAGATTAGACCCTGCCTGATGTTCAATAAAAGTTAACTGTGGCTACCACTACTCTTACTGCTCTTCAAACTGACATGAATTCAAATCAACAGTCCCAGAGCTGATTTCAACCACCATCTCCCACAGAGGTATCACAAAAAGATAAAGTACCCTGCAAATTTTATGTTCCCGCAGGGGCTGCGGCGTATGAATTCCAGGCTGAGGAGAGAAAGCATTATCTGCACCTTCCCACCCACACCCTCACTGCAGCCCCGTCAAACCTACACCACTTCCCTGGCCCAGCCCAACTTTGCCTTTATCCTTACCTTTGCTTATTCTGAGGCAAAGCCTTAGCATCAACTGCAAACATTTTGGAAACAAAGATAATAACCGGAGCAGTGTCTTCGCTTCCACATTTCATAAAAGCTAAAGAGACAGGAAATAAAACTGTTACTGTTTTTTCCCATTATTAAAGAGCCAGATTCTTCTGAGAACAATTACGAAGTTTAGAACACGGCATCATCTAAATACATAAGCAACCTATAATCTTTTACCACTATGATAAAAACTGCATCTGGAAAAGTATAAAATTGCTAGAAAAATAGTAGAGCAAGAGCAAGAGAACTGGCAGAAATGAGGAAAGAAAAGCAAAACTGATAGGGTGGGAGAAGGGCTGGAGGAACTCCCACATAGAACTAAAGCTAGGAAATGGGCTTAACCACCCACCATAAGCCCTCAGAAATGTTTCCTGTGGAGAAGGGATAGAACTGAGAAATTTTACCAAAGGTCAATAGTCAATAGGTAGCTTACTAATAAAATACATAAAAACCAGTAGCTTTTCCAATCCCTCACAAAAACAAGTTAGAAAATAAAACAGACAAAAATATCTTATCATGATAATAACCAAAAACCTTAGAAATGAATTAAGATTCAATACTATAAAGATGTCAATTTCCCCTAAATCTATAAATTTTAACACAATTTCCTATCACCATATTGACATTTTTCTTAACCTACATAAAAAAACCATTGGTTAAGATAAAAAACCATCGGTTAGTAATTTTTTAAAAAATCACGCCACATCAAAATAATTCACACATAAAGAATTCAACAGTAAAATTCAAATAAGGGGGCTTCCCTGGTGGTGCAGTTGTTGGAAGTCTGCCTGACGATGCAGGGGACACGGGTTCGTGCCCCAGTCCGGGAGGATCCCACATGCCGCGAAGCGGCTGGGTCCGTGGGCCATGGCCACTGAGCCTGCGCGTCCAGAGCCTGTGCTCCGCAACAGGAGAGGCCACAACAGTAAGAGGCCCACGCAGAGAAAAAACAAAAACAAAAACAAAATTCAAATAAGGAATAAAGGAAGCAAGAATTAAATATCTATCAGAAGTCTTGCCAGACTTGCCTTTCAAGTCTTTGAAAGGCTGTGAGGAACAAAGTGACACGTCCTGACTTCAATTTTTAACAGGATCACCCTGGCTGCAGTGTTGAGAAAACACGAAAGGCTATCAAGAACAGCAGCAGGGATACCAGCTGGAAAGCTATTGTAATAACCAGATGAGAGATCATGGTCCAGGGAGGACCCAGGGAGGCAGAAGTGGAAATGTTGAAAAGTAGTTGTTCTGGATATATTTCAAAGGAAGAGTAAACAGGATTTGCAGATGGACTCGATGCAGGGGCATGAGATAAATGTGGGAATTAAGAGCATGCCGTTGTCATGTAAAGCCTTGAGACTGGACAAGATCAGCAGGTAGAAAACAGATGAGGTCCAAAGACTAAGACTTGCTTTGGAGTATCCCACAGTTAAAAAGTCAGGGGGATGGAGAGGAACTGGAAAAAGAGATTAAGAATAAACAGCCAGGGCTTCCCTGGTGGCGCAGTGGTTGAGAGTCCGCCTGTTGATGCAGGGGACACGGGTTCGTGCCCCGGTCCAGGAAGATCCCACATGCCGCGGAGCAGCTGGGCCCGTGAGCCATGGCCGCTGAGCCTGCACGTCCGGAACCTCAAGAGACTATTAGAAGTTTAATCTGGAAATTCCTTATGAAAAGTTCCAGCAAAGCAGATTTAAAAGAGCCTATATGGTCAGCTGCTATTCTTGCTGGACCTATAAAAATAATCAGGCCAAGTTTAATGAAACTAAACTTACTTTGCAAACAAATTAGTCTTAATTTGGCTATCTTGGGTAGAAATGAGGGTGATTTCAGAGAAAAAAAAATTATGTTTCAATAGAAACTATAATACACACTTGTGGATATTCGATTTTAGTTCTGTTATCATCTTCGAGGTTTTGTTTTTCTACTGGTAAACTGGACTGGATCCTGAATTCTTCTAGTTTCCTCAAATATTTGGCTACAACTCTCCAAAGTCACATTTCCAATTTTTCTCCCACTTTTGATTCGGAATCACTGAGAACCAAAGCTGCCCCTTTCCTGAAGCCCTGCAAACTGAAGCTGAACAACCTGCAATACACTTGAGAGAGACCACCACACAACATCCCATGTTTAGACAATCTTCAGGCCCGCTGCTGTGTAAGCCGCTCAGGAAGTTTACCTGAACACTCAAAGACATCATCAACGACATTTCACAATGCAGATGATACTTGACTCTGACATCTAGAAATCTTGACTGGCTGCCTCCTAGGTTCAGAAGTTGGTTTGTAATTTGCTCCAACCATTAACCTTTTTCTTCTGTCTCCATAGAAATGCCTCTTATAAGACCCGATTGCTTGCACCTTATAAGCCTAACTTTGAGAGCCCACCTGCATCACTGCCTCCAGAAATGAATTTAACTAGACAGACTTACTGTCAGGACTGAGACTGGTTTAATGAGATGGAACAATCTACGAACTCAGCTTCTGGACTGTGACACTCCTTGAAGACGTTTCAAAGGGAGAACTGTTGAAGAGCAAAATTTGCCACCCCAGAATGTGTTTCTCTGGCATGAGGATTAATTTAGGCTGATTATTTTTAAGAAGCAGAAGACTCAGGAAGTCTTTCTTTTTATGTCCCCTTAGCTGCCTAAAGAATTTAGATAAAGGACCTGGTCCCGGAATAGAGCTATCACCAGAAAAGAACATGCAGCTATCACTGCAAAGAATATGGGGCAGGTGTGGTGGGGAAAACTGGAAGGACCTAGAGATCAGAGTCCACTCTGTGTCCCAGAGTCTCTGCACAGCCCAGCAAACATTTTTTTCAACCAAACTTTTGCTTTTCCATCTTCATGTGAATTGCCTTCCTCCCCTTTGAAGTCCTAAACCACTCAGTATTTAAGGTGAGGGTTTCAGTCAGTTATTCTGTTTTCCTGGGTCTGTCCCATGTATATATGTTATTAAACTTTTGTTTGATTTTTCTGTTTTTTTTAAAAAAAAAAGAAAAAAGAATAAATAGCCAGGGAGACAGGGAGAAAGTAGGAGTATGTGGAAGCCTAGAAGTCAAGGAAAAAAATGACTCAAGGAGGAAGGAGTGATCGACCATGTCAAATGGTAGTGACGGATCTAGTCAGATGAGGATTGAGAACTGGCTGAAAGGTATAACAAAGGACAGTCAACAGTGGCCCTGAGAACAGCAGTGACTTGGGGGGCACGGGCTACAAAGTCAGTAGATTGGGAGAAAAAGGATAGGAGAAAGTGAGTACATACACATGAATTTCATGGAGCCACACGGAGCCTGGAACGGGAGGATCCCTCTCCTGGGGAGCGCATATACGGGGCTTCAAAAGAGCAGCACTGGGCTTCCCTGGTGGCGCAGTGGTTGAGAGTCCGCCTGCCGATGCAGGGGACACGGCAGATCCCACATGCCGCGGAGCAGCTGGGCCCGTGAGCCATGGCCGCTGAGCCTGCGCGTCCGGAGCCTGTGCTCCGCAACGGGAGAGGCCACAACGGTGAGAGGCCCGCGTACCGCAAAAGAAAAAAAAAAAAAGAGCAGCACAGCCCCTGAAATCACTTTTCCACAGTCCCTGGGGACACAGCCATGGTGGTGCTGTGGCACTTTAGGAACACATTCCTGGCTATTTAGGAGGATGGAATACAGCATGATTATAAGATTATGAAATGTGATCAGGGCAAAAGGTAGCGGTCTCAGAGCCTCTGGTATCCCCACTCCACTGGCAGAGCAAAATGGCTCTAGCAAAACTGAAATGTTAGAAAACAAAAGGCAACTGGTGAAATGTTTGTGAAATTGTTTGTCTGTGGAATTGGCCATTTAGCAAACTAGCATTTAGCAAACTGGTCTAGAGTAGTCTGGACTTAGGACTCAAAAATATGTTACCTGCTGTGTTCATCTTTACCTCACCTGCTTTCAGTGCCTGGGTTTCCGGTGGAAGAGAATCAAATGTTTGCGATCCTGCGCACATCAGTTTCTCCACTCTCTCGGCTGTAATATCAAGGGGACTAGGAAGTTTCTGACACACCATAGCTGAAGTCTGCTGTTAAGGACTCAAAACCTTGAGCAAGTGCCCTCCACCATGGCAGAGAGTCACAGTATGCACTAAATACTGAGGTAACAACGTATGTCTATAAGATGCCTGGGCTATAAGGCAGCACTACACCATATATCACATCTCAAAATATGGATACAATTTCAGGGAGTTCATGGACACTCTAGAGCCCAGAAAGGATCCTCATGATAGATATTCTAACACTGACATCCTATGGAACAAGTGAGGAAGGACAACAGAACTTAGGAGCACGGCTAACTGTGACCTTTTAAGTCCTCAAAATATTTTATGTGGTTTCATAAACTGGTATAAAACAACCATCAGCCACAAGCTATGATACAAGAAGGTCCCCCACCAGAGCGAGTGTCACTGTAGGGGTATGTGTCTATCACAGCTCTGAGATCCACTGCTGGTTCACTCCCAGGACACTGCACCCCCAGCCCACTGCAGGGGTACGGCTGAGTACACACAGGTCAAGGAAGAGAAGATACTCTAAATTCATCTATAAAATCACTTAAGTTAATGTAAGCCATTTAAAATCAAGTCTTTTTGGAATCACTAATGTGAGAGGAAGTATCAACAAGCTAACGAAAATATGGGTCTAAAATGAACCAGTGCTGTATAAAAAAATAAATAAAATAAAATTCAAAAATAAATAAATAAAATGAACCAGTGATCCTAACACAAACATCTAAATTATCTACTTATATGTAAATCTTAGTCTAAAAGTTTTTATTTTACAGATTACTAAACAAAAACTAAAAACATTTTTTAAGAACATTCAGGTTGATATTAGTATTAGTCCTAGTTAATATTAATATATTCATTTTTAAAGTACTTAATACAGTTTCATGGTGGAACCTTAAATAACCCCAGAAGACTTTGGATGGAAGTGCGTTATTTTCAGAGGATTTCCAGATTGCCAATAACACACTGGTTTTTCTTGTTTAGTCATATCTATGATTTCATTAAAAACCATTAAAATAAAGGATACCAAGAACAGCCTGAGATATGGGAAGCCACTGACTGCAAATAGCATTGATCTGAACTTTAGGGTCTGAATGCCGTGCCTCTCGGGCTCCAATTTTTAATCCTAAAGAAGTCACGATTTTATCAATTTTTTCTTTGTCCCTATAGTAAACGTACAGGATGGGTGGGGGGTGAGGGGTGAGGAGAGAGAAAGATCACATAAAGACACAAAGAAGCAGTGAGGAAAAGGGACTCAACATTGTTTGACACATGTATTCCTAATGTATTACTTTTACTACAAAAAAATAAAAATGCTTGAAGGGGCTCCTGCCACAGGAGAAAACTGCTCAACCTTTACCCATACACTTCCAAATGAACTTTTCTTTAAAACGTCCCATGAAGCACCATTCCACAATCTCCCTAAAAAAGCTATGTCAACTGGTAAAGCAACTGTATAAATAAATACTAAAAAATCATTATTCCACCTCTGGAACAACTTAGAAATGTACTGAAGCAAACATTCTTTTCCACTTGTATCAGGCAAGTTTTTCCCCCAAGTGCCCCATTAGTGATCCTTGATATCAAGCACCTTTTCTACTACAATTACTATTTTATTTTAAACTGAGTTTGTATAAACAAAAGTCTAATGTTTCTTTCCATCCTTTATATCTCTTCACCTCAGCACTCTATAAAATATGGCTGTTCTCTCCCTCCTGTCACCCTTTACTTGGGTTACACATACTCCTTTAAATTGTTTCCAAGCCCTGTAATCAACTCCTCTGTAAAGGCTCTGTTCATTTTTTCAGTCTATCTCAGCTTTCTGAAGTGTGACTCATCAAACTGAAAAGTGAGGCAAATTATACTGCCCAATTTATGTAACAATTTATAACAGCCTTACTTTTTCAAGACAGCATCATACAAACTCCATATATTTTCCAGGATCAACTGTACAAATAAAGGTTTCTTTCCTTTTGCCTGTAAAAAAGGATGAATGGGCTTAAATTTCTGAATATTTCATCGGTATCTTACATATTCATTCTTGACATGTTTTATTATCAGTGTTTCATTTCTACCAGAAAATATTTACTCAACAGAAAAGTGGAGGAAAGTAGCTATAAGAATGCTCTAAAAAGCCAATAATCCACAATCAGTAACAACCCACTGTTCTCTTCCTCCAGGAACCATGGACTTCACAAACAAGACCATTTGGGGGCTATATCACTGCAGTTGTCCTTTCACTGCCATCAAAGAAATACATGATACCCAAGCTGAGAGCTAAAACTTCACTCTAAAATTTCCATGGACTTTGTTCTAAAGAATGTTCTTAAACATGAAAAATGTTCAACTTCAAGGAAGAAGATATTAAAAAAAAACAAAAAAAACTCCTATTATTTCTCTTACCAAACTGTACAAAATAATAGCAAGAGCACTTTGAGATGGATAATATACAAGAGCTGGAATATAAACTGATACCCTCTTTCTCAAGAACTATTGGCAAGGTATTGGGAAATTAAGCCATTACCTTTGAATGCCTGGTTAGAAAAAGCTCATTGTCAAGACATAAAAATGTATTTATCAAGATGCCCACCACAGCTTTACTTAAAATATCGAAATATTCGTGAAACAGAAATAAAAACTATGTCCAATCTTACAGGATTTATGTAGATTCTACATTTATGTAGAATGATTATGTAAATGATGTAATAGGGTCCTTATGTGACAGGAACTGTTCTAAAGACTTTTCTTGGATAGTTCATATAATTATCCTAACCACCCTGTAAGTATTACTATCTCCAATTTGCAGATGAAAAAAACTGAGACAAATGTCACGGAACTAGTAAGTGGTGGAGCTGAGATTCAAACAGACAGAGTTGGATTCTCAAACCATGCTTTTTCCCACTTCATACACTGGCTCCTTCTTAAATACACTGTTTATAGAAAGATTTTAATGGCAACGGAAGATGTTCACAATATGATGTCAAGCAGAAAAGCAGCTATATTATATAAACAGCAGTATCTCAACTGAGGGATGTATGTATCTATCCAGAAAGAATGAAAGAAATGAAAACCACAGCATTAGCAGTGCTGGCTTCTGATATCTTTTCTTTCCTATAGATTTATACTTATAAATACCTTCTTAAGGGAATATATATGCTCTTCAATGAGAATGAGTTTATAAAATCCTGAATTTTACATTTAAAAAAAAATCTTCAAGAAAAGCATCCTCTGAGGCTATGTGATTCAGCAGCCTTACATCACCTCAATCGATAGAATGAAGTGCTCCAGGGAGCACCTGCCTCTCCACATCAGCGAAGCATGGTGACTGACATTCAATGAGAGAAGGCCTCAGCTGAGACTAGGGATAAAGTGTGGGCCACACAGTGATGTCTGAAAGAGATGTCTCTTTATGAAGGGGACACACAAATGCCTGATGCAAAATATGTGTCTTCGAGTTCACATGCACAGGATCTGAGATTTTTGCTCCTCTTAAAAAGAAAAAACAAACAAACAAAAAAACCCAGGCAGTCCTAAAGAACTGTATTTAAGCAATACTTGGATATAAGACACAGGAACTTTAGCCAAATATATACAGTAGAAAATCCCTCATAAACTGACTCCCATAAACAAGGCCAAATTACAGGTGTGTTACAGTACAGGTTTTCATAGGGCAACAGTGGGACCAACAATCAACAGGGACATATGCCACATTACCTGATCAACCTTCATAATCTTCTTAGCCTTCGTATTTATATAATAATCTCCCCACAAGGTTTTCAAAAGAACTTCCTTTTTGATGCCAATTTTTTGACTGTAGATTTCGGCAAAGTGCTCAATTCTGAAAGAAAAGCAAGTGTTCACGTTATTAATAACAACATAAATGAGTACAGCTAACACTTGAGTGTTTCTGTGCCAGGTACTGTTCAACGTGCTTTAAATGTCATTTCAACTATCTTACAAGGTAAGTACTAATCTCCTCCATTTTACAGAAAAGGATAATGAAGCACGAGATATCACACAGGTAACAAGTGAAGCTGGGATTCAAACCCAAGCAGTCTCATTCCAGAGCCCAGCTTCCTGTCCAACTTCCCCTAAATCCATATGAATTAGAATTCATGCCATACCTCCCTCTTTTAATTCTGCATGTGTAAAACAAGAAGAATAATGGCCAAGGAAATGGAGGCTCCGGCTGCCCATTGCAGCCACGCCAACAATAAACTTTGTTTCAGCCCTTCACTGCTATAGGTACCTATTGCTCACAAAGAAAACAAACCCTAGAGCCAGAACCTGCCAAAAAAAGGCTTTTTAGCATCTGGGATTAAACAGGAAACAGATAGATACACACTTACTTCACTCTCTCCAGCCCTTAGAGAAGTCAAGTTAGCACCAGGTCTGCTCTACTGGAAACCCCAGCCACACAAGAGCGGTCACCTGACAAATAATGATGCTGTATATTACAGCATCTGCAGTGTCTGGGTAAAGGACCTAGAAAAAATACCTTTTCTGCAGGGAACAGTATGCTCCTACATAATCTAAGTTTTGAGTCCAACTCTCAAAGTACCAGCAACTTAAAAGACACCTGCTATATTCTCCAATGCAGAAGGAATCCAAAGTTAACAGATTCTAGACAATTCTTTACCTGTCATTCAACAACTGTGGAATCCAGGGGTTAACTACAACCAAGTCCAATTAGCTGATATTCTCTTATGATAATAGAAGCCTGGTGGGAGCAATACAAAGCTGCAGGAGTGGAAGTTAATAATTATGGTTGGAACCAGAAATATGAAGAGCATCAGGCAGCAGCTTAGAAGCAAAAACAGATGCTACAGAAACTGCTGAAGATAAATAACCAATGCCCCCTCACTGAGGTCCAAGGGAGAGAAAAACACCCATCAGGAATCAGAATTCACATCATACGGTTATAAGCTACTAACATTCTGAAAGAGATGGCCTCAAAGGTCCATCACTTCCAAAGTAATGCACTATGGTAAGCTTTATTTCCCATTTGATCCAACAGCTATTTATTTAGTAGAGTTTTTTTTACTTTTCTAAAACTTTAGTTTCTATTATTATTTTATTTATACTTATCATATAAAAATTTATACATAAATGTATATATAACATGTATATAATATATAATTTATACATTATTTATATATGTTAGTATCACTATATATATATATATATATTTTTTTTTTTTTTTTTTTTTTTTTTTTGCGGTACGTGGGCCTCTCCCTGTTGTGGCCTCTCCTGTTGCGGAGCGCAGGCTCCGGACGCGCAGGCTCAGCGGCCATGGCTCACGGGCCTAGCCGCTCCGTGGCATGTGGGATCTTCCCGGACCGGGGCAAGATCCCGTGTCCCCTGCATCGGCAGGTGGACTCTCAACCACCGCGACACCAGGGAAGCCCAGTATCACTATATCATTAATTTATAATCTTTTTCGTCTTTTTGGAGGGAACCCATCTTCTCTTTACCAATTTTTACCTCACTCCATAGACATAGCTTTCCTACTCTGGAGGGCTGAAAGGAGCACTCTTGGTCTCTCTCCCACCTCAATGGCTACTCAACAAGCAAAAAGAAGGCCAATGGCCAACACTTATTGGGCAGAGTTCCTATGCCTCAAAAAGGAAGCAAGCTCTGTCTTGCTCCCTATTCCAGGGATCAGTAAAAAGAGCCAAGATTCCTCCTTGACTTCCTGAAGTTAAGTACACCTAGAACAAGGCACAGAACCTTCTTTCCAGAGGCAAGTCAGCAGACCCTTATCTCACCCTGGGCTTTCCATCTCTCAACACCTGATCTTTCCAGACAGGCTACAATCCTCCATGCAGATTCGCAGATCCATTACAGGACCTACAGGAGGGAGACGATGGGAGGCAACTACTGTGGCCTGAGGTCCCAAGCACATTCTCCAGCCTATCTCTACCAGGGAGCCCTGTTCTTTACAGTGATGTTCTCTGCGTCCTCAATAAATACAGCCAACACTTTGATCATCATATTGGCAACTTGGGTCCATTCTTAGATGGTTAGCGCTGGAGATAATGACTGAGTGATTTGTATAAGCTTTCAACATAATTTATATTCCTTGAACTTGAATTGTTTGTTGGCCTGACATAGGATCAATTTTTATATATCCTTCACTGACACTTAAAACAAATCCGGACTTTAATTATAATACTATTCATATGGTTTGTTGCTATTTGATGTTAAACTGTGATATGATGCAATCCCCCCAAACCACATGACTGTGGATTTCTACTTATACTTCTATTTTTGTCTCATGAACTTTGCTGTTATGATCATTAATCTCTTTACTACAGAAATGTGCCAATTACCCATATAAAAATGATCCTTATGCCACATTTGCCATAAATTCTGCTCTGCTTATCATTAAGATCGCCAAACATACTTTCTTTTTATTCACATTTGTTTGACATATTGAAGCAAAGCTTTGATATTTACCCTCAGTCCCTTATGCTTTATGTTTATTTTATTTAGCAAATCTCTGGAAATTTCCTTCTTATAAAAGACAGTATCTCCTCAACAGGGGATTCAAACATTTACTGTCATAACTGTTCTGATTAGGTAGATTTCTCTTCATGCTTCTAGGATTTTTTTGTTGTTGTTGTTGATTTGTGCTACCCAGTCCGTTATGTTTTCTTTTATCCTTTACAACAATGTGTCAGATATATGTCTTGCTTTTAACTCAAAAAGTGGCAAACAAAGATTTTCACAAACACTGAAACGTACTATAAAATCATAAATTATAGTAAGAAATTGGCCATTTGCTTAGACCACTGTCTTCAAACCCTTTTCTAGTCCATCATTTATTTAACATACATACACATACAGACACATAAATCTTTGAAAATCTTGTTTTTCATCCTTTGCATTCTTTTCAATCCCCCAGTTACCACAAAAGTTGCTTATAAACATCAAACCTTTCTTGATTATTGCTTAGTGCTTTTATTCCTGTGCCTGTCATTAGTTATAATTTTAAAATACTGACAGTTTCTAGCACAACTTCTCCATTCTTGAATTCTATTTTAATTCATTTCCTCTACCGAATAACTTCAAACAAGATTCTCAGAAAAGATTTGCAGAACATGTTCTCCAAGACTACTGACCTATCAATCTTTTGCCCTGACTGACAGCTTGGCCAAGTATGAAATTTCTGGGCCACATACTCTTTTGTGTCCAAGGTACCCAATGGATTAATGTTAATTGCAGGATTCTAAGACACTGCTGCACAAAGACAAACAAAACTATAAGGAAGGGCTTTTCCTTGTCTTTTCTTTCCTGCCCCTGTTTTATAGGGTTGGGGCCTCAGCTCTATTTATCTTAATCAGGAACTAGATCGTTGCTGCCACTCACACAAGTCAATGTGTTTCTGCTTTTTCAGAGCAGATTCTCCTGGAGTAACAACTATTAACAGGACAGATTTAGGCCACACAGCCACTAGTCACACTTCTTAATCCTGTCCCACTATATAAGAGTTTATAGAACCATCTGCTAAATTCTGAAATGTACTCATTTCCCACTTTTTGTGACAACTTTCCCTATTGAAGTTGCCAACTTTCCCCATTCACTGACATGTTAGAGGAAAATTGGAAGGAAATGGGTCTCCAGTGCTTTCATTTCCACCAACCCTTTTCCATAAATTAACATGTCAACTAGTTGAGAACAGGCACTAGCAGATCTATAAAGATGACTTTGTCTAATACAGGGGAATTCATTTATTGACTGAAAGTACGTAAAAATGTCCAAAGTTGTGAGGAGTTACCCTCATTCTGTTCATTCAAGTCTCTCCCCATTCCTTCTTGTGAGATTTAGACTAAAATTCACATAAAACATTCAATTTTTTATGAAAATCATTACAAGAAAAGGGCAAGCCCCTTACATTGTAGCTCACTCGCAAAATTTACAAATTAAGAAATCAATAGGTCTGACCCTGTTATATGACTGAATGAATCACTGTACATTTTAGCTCAAAGAAATTCTTAGAAATTATCTTAGACCTATATTCTTATTTTTCAGATGAGGAAACAAGGCCCAGAAAGATGACAATGGTAAGTCATCAACTACATATGAAAAGTGCAAATTTTCAAGTTTGTAATTTCCATTTTCACTATATATCCATTATCTGAATTTATTTGTCTGGTATAACCTTTATAGGCACCAAATAAACCAAGGTATCTATAATTTATTACAAACTAGCAGAGAAAAATTATGGTATTATAATTTATTACGCTGCCCAAGGCAAAATGTGTTCAGTCAAAAGGAAGTTGAAGGGCAAGTTCCTGTAAAAAGGAAGACAAGGAACAGCCAAGGGTGGTTTCACCTGGTGCATTATTTCTGGTTCTATTATCCCTGCAAATTATATGTAAGGTTAAGTCTACAACTAAAGTAAATTTCATTATATCCCCACAACTGTTTACCCAGGCCGAAGACATTTTTCTCAAAGTAAAAATCCGCTGAATGTTCTGATTTCACAAGTCAGTGATGGTTGTGGTTAGAAATGTAATCAATTACCTAGCACATTCAAAACTGATATCACTGCTACTTGGCCTGAGTGTGTACATACCCAGAAGGGGCAATTAGAAAAAACAAGGGTCCCTATATTCCATAGTGAAGATCCCGTAAAAGCACTATGGTAAAAAAGCGTGAACTTCAGTGCCAGGCAGACTTTAAACTTAACAACAGCTATGCCACTCAGTGGCTAAGTGATGTTTAACAAATCAATCAATGTCTTTGAACCTTAAATAATAAATATTAAGACCTATTTAAAAGGATTGTTCTGGGACTTCCCTGGTGGCGCAGTGGTTAAGAATCCACCTGCCAATGCAGGGGACACGGGTCCAGGAAGATCCCACATGCCGCAGAGCAGAGCAACTAAACCTGCGTGCCACAACTACTGAGCCTGTGCTCTACAGCCTGTGAGCCACAACTACTGAGCCCACATGCCACAACTACTGAAGCCCACGCGCCTAGAGCCTGTGCTCCACAACTAGAGAAGCCACCGCAACAAGAAGCCTGCACACCCCATAGAGGAGTAGCTCCTGCTCGCCGCAACTAGAGAAAGCCCGCACACAGCAATGAACACCCAATGCAGCCAAAAATAATTAATTAAAAAAATTGGAAAAAAATAAAATAAAAGGAGTGTTCTAAGAATTCAATGAAATAATTTAAGTGACTAGCTCAATGCCTAGCATATGCACACCCTCAATAGTTAGTTTCTTTCCACAGTAACTTCTGCTAGTGTAGATAATAAAAGTTGATAATGTATTTGCTCATATATGCATAATAACCTCCAGATGATACACAAGAAACTGCTGGGACAAACTAGTTTTCTGTGGGGAAATGAACTAAAAAGCTAAGGGATAGTGTGGGAGACTTTTCATTGTACGCATTTTTGTACCTTCTGAATTTTGAATTTATTCAAAGAATAAGGTTTAAAAAGTTAATTGTATATAAAATCTACAAAGAGATGCAAAACTTGCTGAATATTCAAAAATCAAGGTAATCTACTATATTAATAGTTAACAAAAATCATAGGATTATATTAATTGATACAGAAAAAGCATTTGAAAAAATTTGACACCAATTCATAGTAATAACTCAGAAAAAAAGGAGTGCAGGGGAACTTCCTTACCTTGACAAAGAACATTTACAAACAACTTAGAACTAACATTATACCTCTTGGTGAAAGACTGAAAGATGGGGAACAAGGCAAGTATGTCTACTTTCCCCACTTATTCAAACAGTGCTGGAAGTTCTTGCCAGTGCAATAAGGCAAGAAAAGAAAGGAAAATGGCACAGGACAGGAAGAAATAAAAGTCCTTATTTGCATATGACATGACTACCTTGCACAAAATCCCAAGGCATCTACAAAAAACTCTTAGAACTAATGAATAGGTTTAGCAAGGTGACAGTATACAAGATCGACACACAAAAATCAAGTAATTATATTTCAATACAGTAGAAATGAAGATGTGAACACCAAAATAAAAAATACCATTATAATTTCTAGAAAAAAAGAAAAATTAGGTGCAAGCCTAATATAATATGTACAGGACTTAAATGCTGAAAACCACAAAATGCTGATTAAAGAAATCAAAGAAAATCTGCACAAATGGAGAAACATACAGCCTCCATGGATTAGATGATTCAACATAGTAAAGGCATCAATTCTCCTTAAATTAATATACAAGTGTACCATGCATTTTCCACCAAAATCCTAGCAAAATTTTTTTTGCAGATATAGGCAAAGATTATTATAAAATGTATATGGAAAGGCACAGACCCTTGAACAGCTAAAACCATTTTGAAAAAGAAGAACGTGATGGAAATAATCCACCCAATTTCAAAACTTATTATACACTTAGAGTAATCAGGGCTATGTGGTATTGGTGGAAAGACAGACACATAGATCAATGAAACAGAATATAATACTCAGAAATAGACCCACATAAATATGTCTAACTGATTCGGACAAAGGTACAAAAACATTCAATAGAGCAGGTATAGGCTTTTCAATAAATGGTGTCAAAGTAACTGGGACACCCACAGCCCCCAAAATGAACCTCGACCCAAGTTTCACATCTTATACAAAAACTTAACTCAAAATGAATCACAGATTTAAATGTAAGAAGGAAAACTATAAAACTTCCAGAAAAAACATGAGAGAAAATATTCAGGATCTAGGGCTAGGCAGACTTCTTAATGCCAAAAGTATAATTCATAAAAGGAAAAATCGATAAACTGGACTTCCACTCAAATTAAAAACTTTGCTTTGTGAAAGACACTTATTAAGGTGAAAAGCGAAACTCTAGACTGGAAGAAAATATTTATAAAACACGTATGAGACAAAGGACTAATATCCAGAATATATAAAAAATTCTCAAAGCTCAAAAGTAAAACATAAATAAATAAAAATTAGAAAATGGGCAAAGGACTATACAACGAAGCAGGTAGTCAAGAAAATGAAAAGGCAACCTATTGAATAACAGAAAGTATTTGCAAATTATGTATCTGATAAGGGGTTAATATCCAAAATATACGAAATACTCATACAACTCAATAGCAAAAAACCCAAACAATCAACTGAAAAAAAGGACAGAAGACATGAACATTTTTCCAAAGAAGACCTACAGATAGCCAACAGGTATATGAAAAGATGCTCAACATCACTAAATATTGATCATCACTATCAGGAAAATGTAAGTCAAATGACAATGAGCTATCACCTTACACCTGTTAGAATGGCTATTATCACAAAAGGTAAGAAATAAGTATTGGTGAGGATGTGGACAAAAGGAAACCCTTTGTGCACTGTTGGTAGGAAGGCAAATTGGTACAACCACTATGGAAAATATTATGGAGGTTCCTCAAAAAATTAAAAATACAACTACCATTTGATGCAGCAAGTCCACTTCTGGGTATTTATGCAAAAAACCCCCAAAACTCTTGAAAAGATATATGCACAACACCTTATCGCAGCATTATTTACAACAGCCAAGGTATGGAAACAACCTAAGTGTCCACTGATACATGAATGGATAAATGATGCAGTATATATACACAAAACGGAATACTATTCAACCATAAAAAAGAATGCAAACTTGCCATTTCCAACAACATGGAGGGACTTCGAGGGCATTAGGCTAAATGAGATATGTCAGACAGAGAAAAACAAGGACAAATACTGCATGATCTCACTTACATGTATGATCTTTAAAAAACAAAACCAAATAAACAAGCAGCTTACAGATACAGAGAACAGATTGGTGGTTGCAAGAGGCAGGGAGTAGAGGGTTGGCAAAGTGGGTGAAGGGGGTCAAAAGGTACAAATTTCCAGTTATAAAATAAATCAGTCATGGGATGTAATGTATAGCATGGTATAGTTAATAACAGTATATTGTATAATTGAAATTTCTTAAGAGTCAATCTTAAAAATCCTCATCACACACACACACAAATTTTGTAACTATGTATAGTGATAGAAACTAACTAGATTTACTGTAGTGATCATTTCACAATATACAAATATTGATCATAATATTGTACACTTGAAACCAATATAGTATGTCAATTATACATGAACAAAAACAAAATGGGCAAAGGACATAAAAAGACATTTCAGGGCTTCCCTGGTTGCGCAGTGGTTGAGAGTCCGCCTGCCGATGCAGGGGACGCGGGTTTGTGCCCCGGTCCGGGAGAATCCCACGTACCGCGGAGCGGCTGGGCCCGTGAGCCATGGCCATTGGGCCTGCACGTCCGGAGCCTGTGCTCCGCGACAGGAGGGGCCACAGCAGTGAGAGGCCCTCATACCAAAAAAAAAAAAAAAAAAAAAAAAAAAAAAGACATTTCACGCAAGAGGATACACAGATGGCAAATCAGCTCATAAAAAGATTTTCAGCATCACAAGCTGTTAGGAAAATGTGAATTAAAACCATAATAACATATCAGTACACACCTATCAGAATGGCTAAAAAAAGACAAAAGAAAAAAAATAGGAACAATACCAAATGAGGGTGAAGATGTGGAGAAACTGGATCACCATACATTGCTGATGGGAATATAAAATGGTACACCAGTTTGACAGTTTCTTTAAAAACTAAACACACAACTACCCTATGACTCAGCAAATGCACTTCTAGGCATTCATCCCAGAGAAATGAAAACTTACGTTCACATGAAAACCTACAGATGAATGCTTACAGCAGCTTTACTCATAGTAGCCCCAAACTAGAGAAAACCCAGATGTCCTTCAATGGGTGAATACTCAAACAAACTGTGGTACAAACACACATGGAATAGTACTAAGCAATAAAAAGGAACCAACCAGTGATGCATGTAACAACTTAGATATGTCTCTAAAGAATTATTCTGAAAATCAAATCCAGAAAAGGTTACATATTATTCAATTACATTTCTATAACATTCTTGAAATGACAAATTATAGAAATAGAGAAGAGTTAGTCATTAAGGAGGGGTTGGAACTCGGAAGGAAGTGGGTGTGGCTATATTAGCGGAACATGAAGGCTCTTCATGGTGATGGATTATATCAATGTTAATATCCTGGCTGTGATATTACACTACAGTTCCGCAAGATGTTACCTTTGGAGGGACACAAGGTAAAGGAACAAGAGAACTCTCTGTATTCTTTCCTATGACTGTATGTGAATCTACAATATCTCAAAATAAAAAGTTTAATTAAAAAATCAATTGGATAGGGGCTTCCCTGGTGGCTCAGTGGTTGAGAGTCCGCCTGCCGATACAGGGGATGCGGGTTCGTGCCCCCGTCCGGGAAGATCCCACGTGCCGCGGAGCGGCTGGGCCCGTGAGCCATGGCCGCTGAGCCTGCGTGTCCGGAGCCTGTGCTCCGCAACAGGAGAGGCCACAACAGTGAGAGGCCCACGTACCGCCAAAAACAAACAAACAAACAAACAAAAAAAAACAATTGCATATAAAATCCACAAAGAGATTTAATTACATTGAAACACTTACCCAAAGCCCCACCCATCTATTGCACTTGTAAATACCACATTTCCCTGGTCTGGAGAGAAGTAAAGGTGAGAATCATCCGTGTCCTCCAAGCCAGCGCTCCAGTCATACACTTGCTCTCCTTGCTCAGAATTGGGATTCACTTGGGATTCAGTCTCTCTCTCTGCTCTTTCTTCTAGCACTTTAGAAGTAAAAAGAGCTCCTGTGAGTGCATTAATCTAGGAGAGATGGTAAAATGGCAGAATGTCATTCAGATGCTTTGCACGCCCACGACAGGAGACACACTGTCTAAGCCTTGCTAATCCTAGAATCATAAGTCACAGTTTGAGCTCATATTAAGCAAACATGGATGGCGATGACGTTTATAGCAATCATTAACTTATATGCTATCAACCCATGCTTTTCACACCCAGCAAAGCTAAATTGGAAGGCTTTTGAAAGGTCACTTTTGTGCTCAAGAGTTGAAAGCAGACACTAATCTGTCATATCTTCAACTTGTTTTCCAGGACCAAGGCCAGGTGTCACTAGAACTCATGGTTTCCAACCCCCACAATCTTCATTTATAACCTTAGTCAACTCCCTTACCATTTCTCACAGCAGATGTTTGAACTGTTCGCCCCTCTCTTCAGGCCCTCTTCCTGACCTCTAACGCCCAACTATTTTCACTCTCAAGTAGGTAATCTTATTTCCTACCTCCAAGAGAAAATGGAACCTATTATTCAGAAATCCTGCAAGCTCGCAATAATTCAACCTATAGGTCCATCTATATCTACAATTACCACTGGCCCTTCTCCTTCCACTGCAGGGTGGGAGTATTTCATCTGTACCCATCCCTGACTATCTCTTCAGGGAACTAGATTCACTGATCCATTCTTTTTCACTGCTCTACCTTTATCACTTCCTTTCTTTAGCAAATAAATATTCTCAAGTTGGTCACATCAATGGTATTCCACCATCTTGAAGAAGACATTTCAAACCTCCATGCATGGCATACAAGGTTCACCATAATCTAAACCCTACACTCCTTTCTACTAGCGCCTCTTATCACTACTTAACAGGATCTAATTCTTCAACTATAACAAATAATTTGCAGTTCTTTTAATGAAACATTGTACTATGCTTTTTTTCCTTTATAACTCTGTATATCTCATTCCTTCTCTCTTGAAGAACTTTACCATAAGTCTCTACCTGGCAAACGCTACCTCTCTTCCATCTCGAGGCCTCTTTTGTGAGACTTTTCCTAACTCTCCCTTTCCTCTTGACCCAGTCTGGGTGAAGCAGCCCTCATTTATGCTCTCAAATCACATCCAGGGGTTATCTCATTGTTCTCCAAATATCTCTTTTAATTGTCTGTCTCCCCTACCACACTGTGAGAGCTTTGAAAATAGGGACTCTGACCTGTCTTTATAGTCATAATCCTTAGCACAAAGTGAACATCCAAGAACTCATTTATTCAACATATAGGTATGTTAATGTTTGCTGAATAAACGCTTTGGTAAAATTTCATCTAAAGACAGGTAATAAAAAAAACCAAAGTCTCCTAATATTGCTTCATTGTGAAACCAAACTACAGGATTTTAAACAAGAGAACATTGAAACCTATTGTCTAAGCTTTATATTCAAGGATGCTTCCAGGAGATGGAGGGGGCTCCTAAGATGACACTTGTTCTATTGCCTCTCTTCTGGTATGGTGACTCTGACACATGTGAATCTAAGTAAGTGAATTTTCTGTAGCAATGCCTCATACTCAACTCAGCAACTTCCTTACAACCCTTCTTTGAGCCACAATTTTTCAAATACCGAAGTAAAGGATAAAATACCTGTTCTAAAATATTCTTGAGGTGAGAATAGGCCTCCTGTGGGGTGAATTTCAGTTCCACTATCAAGCGATCTATCTTATTAATCACTAAAACTGGACGGATGTTTTCGAGCCAGGCTTGTCGCAGAACTGCCTGTGTCTGATTAAAAAAGAAAGGAAAATGTAAAGCTCATGACTTGAAATAAGTAAAGCACATTAGAAAATTCTGATTAATAAGCAGCTCATTTCCATACTCCTTGATCACAACTCAGACCATGCCAGTCAGACACAGGTGTTCACCAGACATTCACAAAGTATATAACACAGAAGCATAGAACTACAGACAAGAAACTGTCCTTGCCTTTATGGAACCGTCAATTTATTTAAGAAGGATAAATAAAATTATGTAAAAGACAGTGAACAGTTTTGTGGAATTATACATACACACACACACACACAACACACACAATTTACCGTATTTTATTCAGTAAATAATCAGAAAACAAACACTCATGTTGCCAACACACAGGTCGAGCAACAGAACATTCCCCCAGAAGTCCCCTGTGTACACCTTCCTGAGCATAAACAACCTCTCAGCATTAACCACTATTCTGCTAAAGTCAGGTCTGTTCATTTTACTCGTCTTGTCAGGACACCTAAGACACTACAAAGACTAAGGCTGTGCTTCTCCAATTGGGGGACCCGGGCCCTTACAGGCAATCAGATGGGAAGTTACAGAATAATTACAGCATATCTTCTTGGAATTATCAAATTGTCTCCATTTCTACAAGAAAACCTCCTTTCATTGTGCTTTTGCTTTATTGTGCTTCACAGATGTTGCATTTTTTACAAACTGAAGGCTTGTGTCAACCCTGCATCAAGCAAGTTTATTAGCACCATTTTTCCAACAGCGTTTGCTCACTTCATGTCACTATGTCACATTTTGGGAATTCTCACAATATTTTACATTTTTCATTATTCATCTATTTGTTGTGGTGATCTGTGATCAGTGAACTTTGATGTTACCATTACAACTCAGTGAAGGCTCAGAAATGGTTAGCATCTTCTAGCAATAGAGTATTTTTTTAATTAAGGTACATACATTTGTTTTTTAGACATAATGCTATTGCATACTTAAGAGACTTCAGTATACTGTAAACATAACTTTTATATGCACTGGGAAACCAAAAAAAATTCATGTGACTCGCTTTACTGCGATATTCATTTTACTGCACTGGCTCAGAACCAAACCTGCAATATCTCAGAGGTATGCCTGCAATTTAAACCGTTCCTTATTCTTTTTAAAAAACATTAAAACAAATAAGCGCATTTAAGAGCTAGGACACAAAGGTGACAACATTTTTAAAGATAACACATAAGGTTTCAAAGAAAAATTATTTTAAAAACTGAATTTAGAAAGCCACTCTGAGTTTCACGTCGACCGGAGTTACATGTTCACTCTGGCCTTAGGGGTGAACTTTTTGAACTTTGGTGGGAAAGAGAAGAAAGTCTCGGTTAAGGATCTGGAAGAGTAAGAGGAGGGGAGGAGGAAGGCAGAGAGACAGCGTGTGTAGGGGGGGAGGGGGGCAGACTGACAAACCAACAGAAGAGACTCAGTATCTTGCTATCAATTACCTCTCACAGTTCAGAAACTTTTCCACTGGAGTGAAACCTCCAGATCCTCCTAAACACCTCTCCCATTTTTGCTGAGTCCCTCTCCAAGAGGACATGACAGACACATCAAGGCACCTTAAAGTCATTCTCTCTACTATCCCTTCAAAACTTGGGGGACAGACCAGAACACTACCAAAAGTGAAATGGAAAACCAGCTTTCTGATGGTCAGTGAAAGGTCTCAAGTGGCACAGAGTCATCGGCAGTCAGTTCCTCTTCTCTCCTCCCACCTTCTTTAACCAGTTAAATATTTCCATGTTACAATCCACTACCTGTGGACAGACCCCTTCCACAGCATCCACTACAATGATGCACCCGTCACAAATGCGAACAGCCGTCGATACTTCTGAGGAGAAATCCACATGTCCTGGAGAGTCTATCAGATTAATCAGGTACTCCTCCTCACCTGAAATGAAATTGGAAGACACACACTTTCAGTTGTGCAGGTATACAGTACTCTTCCTCAGGCAACCCAGAGTAAGAGAGCTTCTAAGAAATGACTGAATAAAGCTAAAGAAGACAAAAGCCAAAATGGTAGCTCAATCAACAGCCACCGTTCCATTTTACGAATTCCCAACAATGGAACTATCAATTCCAAATAGCATTGGTATAAAAGGTTAAAGGATTTTATTATTCTAATAATCTAATAACCACTTATCAAGAGCTACTGTGAGCCAGGCACTGTGCTAAACACTTGTGCTAATCACACGTGATTCCGCCCTTAAAATATCCATACAACATAAACATTCCTCTACTCACTGTGCAGATGAGGAAATTGAGACTACAAGAAATTAATGGAAAAGACACAAAGCAGGTGGCCAACAACTTCCCTACAACTTCTCAAAGAGCAGTGCGTGAATATGCGCAGCAAGACTTACAGTCGATTCTAAGTCACAAATTTAAAGAGCAGCTACTGTGTGCCAAGCAGTGTGCTATGTGCTTTCACATTTGATATACTGTATTCTTTAATCCTCACAACAAAGTTGTAAGCTCAGAGCATGACTCATGCCTATGTGTCCTGTTTTAACTCTGAAGGTCTCACATCCCATCAAACGCCAACGTCAGTCCCACGTCCCACTAAGCCCTAAGTCAGTCCCAGGCAAACCAGAACTACTGGCCACCCTAGGTTACAGAGACATCATATTATCAATAAAACATAATTAAGTAAACCAGCCAGAAAACCGGTCGTTCATTAGAATTCTACACTCATTCCCCGTTCACTGCTAAATTTGATACAATTCTCTTTTAATGGCATAATAATTACTTAAATGATCAAACATCTGAATATACCTATACTTTACTTTTGCTCCTCCTCTTAACTCAGTGTTTTTCAACTTTTGTGTGCTCCAGAACTACTACAGGGCTGAATGGTAGAACTTATGGGGCCATTTAAAGGAATTCCCCAAGTGTGAGGTTAACAACTTGATGATCTGATTAGTGCCCTGTGTGACACTGATAACGATAAAACAACAACACTGCAGTAACCGAAGCCAGAGCTCACATTTGTGAAGTGCCTATCTGGGCACTATCTGGCACAGTTCTAAACGTTTTATAGACGTTATCTAATGTTTACTTACAACAACCCTTGCAGTAGTTACTACCATTAGGCCAAGTTTACAGAGCAGGAAACTAGGGCACGGAAAAGTAAAATATCTTTCTGAGGAATATCCAGCTAGAATCCAACTCTAAGGTAAATTGCCTAAGGTCAAAAAATGGTAGAGTGAAAGTTCAAACCCAGCCACCTCCAAAGTCATACTTTTCCCCACTATCCTCAAGATGGCATATATTTAATCTCACATGCCAAGATTCCACTAGCAGCGAATTTCTGAACACTAGGGTAAGGATTCCAAAATGCAATGGGCTCAGTGGGAAAGACTGCCATCAATCAGCACCTTCTTCAATACCACTCCTTCCCCTGCTTCCTCTTTTCATGCAAATGGCTTTGTAAGGAATTCTGGCTCTGATGCACCCACCAGGGAAGACTCCAACCAGAGAGGACTGTGGACATCTCTAAACAAAGTCAAAGAACCAGTGCCCTGGAACAATGGCCCCCGTGGGCCTCCTTAATCGAGTCTTTTACTGTCAGGTCTCACAGCACCAGTCTCACAGCTACCCTGCAGGATAAGCACCAGGGTCCCAACCAAATAAACCAGAGAAAAGTGAGCAGTGCTACAAAGGCTCAGAGTTCTATCCACTCCCATCACATAAAACCAAAGGTATGAGATTCCTGAAATCATTCAGCATTTTTGCAGCCCAACCCTTCATATCATGAACATGCTAAAGCCCCCAAAAGGGAAGAGATTTACCCAAGGTCACGAAAGCAGTTGCAAGACAGAAACACACCCGGGTCTACCTACCACTTAGTCACTTCCTATGAAGGTCACAGATGCCTCTACACTTTGCAGCTGAGGAAACAACACTTGTTTGTTCGTTTGGCTAAGAACCAGAATAAGAAACCCCGGAGTGAAAAAAGACTGATGTTCACTTCCTGGAACCAATATAAACCGCTGCAACCTACTCGGAACTTCTCTATGTTCACATCACCCTGGAGAGAAAGTCAGAGATCAAGGACCAACTATCTTTCATTCAATTTCACGTGGCTAATATGGGCCATTGCCATAAGGCATGGGGCCTACTGTCAGAGCAATACAGTAACAGCAGCGCACCTTTGACTAACAGAGTGACACACAGAGATACACACACACACACACACACACACACACACACACACACTTGAGATGAGAGACTTGAGCATGCTTAAAAGCTGACAGGCACCAGGACAAAGGAGATAAGTACAGAGCACAAGTCTTTCACAGTGACAGGAGGCAAGCAAAGATACTAATAATGTTACATTTTGAGGGGCAGTGGCAAACAGAGAATTCTCCCATTTTCTGTGAAACAGAACGTAAAAATGTCTGCTGAGATTGTGGGAGAGGGACCGAGAGGTACACCGGAAGAGACTAGAAGGTTTAGGAGAGCTGTTGGAGAGAATGAGCAAGGCTCGACAGACAATATAGTGGAAGTCTGCCAGCAGCCCAAGGACCAGCCGAGAACCCAGCCCAACTATAAAGTGTAGAGAGTTAGCTCTATCAAGGGTTACAGTTTTACTGGGAGGACAGAAGGTGAAGAAAGCAAACTGAGGACCTTGGCAAGACTGTCAGCAAAAAGACAAATCTGGGTTGTATGAGGCAGGAAGTAAACGACGGACCGTGATGAGGCTCAAGAGACTGAAGGGCTTTCTGAAATCCAAGAACGGGTACCTCGCTACACAGGCAAGAGACCTGGGAAGAGTAAAGATGATGGAGAAGGGAGTATTTGAATTTCAAATGTCAAAGATGAATAGTTGTGGATGATGCTAAAATCCAGCAAGTAGCCACGCCAGAGGGAGGGTGAAGTGGAGATCTACACGTCACTATTGATGAAGCCATGCCATTGGAGAGGTCATTTTCAGAAACGGTAAAAGCTACCTTGGTGGATTTGGGCAAAAAGGAAAACAATGAGCCAGGTGCAAAGTCATTAGTGAACGGGGACTGGGGACTGTAACCGGGAGGTGACAGTGGTAAGAAAGGGACGAAAATAACTGGATGGACAGTAAGAGTCTCAAAGGAGATGGAGTTTTAAAGCAAGGGTGGAAGAATTAAGCTTTGAACCAGAACTAGTGAACAAGGGGAACAGCAATCCCATGTCCTAACCCAGAGACAGATGGAGCATGAAAGAATGAGTAGCACTCACTTGAAAGAAGGACAAGAAAAGCAGTGTCCTCGGAAAACAGCCAGCAGGAGGAGAGGGGAACAGCAACAAAAGATGTTGCGGATGCAGGGGTTATTTCTTTACCTTGGGATGTTTTCAGAGAAAGTTTTGAGAAGGAAGGGAACAGTGAGAGGTTGAGGGCAGAGGAGGTATCAGAAGCACAGAGAAACATGGGGAAGAGATTGCTGAGAGGCCAGATCACAGGACTTCCATCTTGGGTGGTGACCAAAGACAACAGGGATGCGGGTAATGGTGGCCACAAGAAGATGTCTGTAAGTAGTCGCAGCAATCCCTGGTGGACAGGACACATTTACACTTCAGGGGGAATCAGCCGTGGCCAGGATTGACTGATTTCCAAAGACTCCCGGTGCAAACGAGGAGTCTGCAAACGTAATTACTTGGCTCCCAGGACTACTACCACATGCTAACTACTCTGTCTTCAGGGGAGTTTCTTAACCCCTATGAACTCCATTTTGCACACATGTAAGATAAGGATAACATCCATCTCACAGGATTGCTGTGAGGATTAAACAAAATCACGCATATGAAGCATCTGGCTCAGGATCCAACTATCGTGCACCCATTTTCTTAGATCTGGCATCAACTGAATGCTTCACAAAGTAAAGCATTCATTATGTTAAGAGGAAATAATCTGATCTTCAGTCAAACAAGGGACAATGGAACCCTTCCCTCCCAGCCCTGGTCCCAAAGGAAGAGGACAGAAATCAGAACCTCGGGTTAACGTTCACATATCTGGAAGGGAAGGGAAGTGACTGATACGTGTTGGCCTTGTGTGAATCTGGATGGCATGAATCAGTTTCCCCACGGCCTAGTCTTAAGAGATTAAGACCAGAGAGCCACAGAGTTGAAACCAACATGTATGTAAACTGTCCACTTGCCCACAACCACAAACCCCTACGGAGGTGTTTACAAAGAGGTGACCTGCACATGGATCTCTCTGCAGAAAGCCCCGCCACATCCTTGGTCTCCACGTTTGGAGTACATCCAAGCTACGGTGTGGCTGCCACCTGGGTAAATACTGCGTATCCCACTGAACCAGGCTGTTAGCTAGTAGCACATATGCCTGAATACAAACTGAAAGCCTGTAAGTTAAAGCCCACTGCAATTTGTTCTACATAGTGCTTTACAAATTTTTAGTAAGTTGCCAGTATTTTAAAAATTGGAGGATTTTACCAAAAATCTTGATGCCAACTTTTCTTGATAAAAAAAAAAACAAAACAGAAAAATACAGGGCATCAGTCAGCTGCAGCTGACTAGCACTAGTCCCCAGCCAGGTAGTGGGGGGTGTTTCATGGGTGGGCAGAGTCTGCTCTCTAGCTCATAACAGTCCCACCCAGACTGCCTCATTCATGCAGAGCTGTTGACACCAGCACCGCGTCAAGAACTAATAATATAGTACTTAATAATCAAATTAGACTGGTGTTGGAATAAGTAGTTAACTCTTTGGGGGGAAATTTAAGTTAGACATCTACCTCACAGCTTGCATGTATACACATACACGTGAACAATTATGGTAGGATTAAATGTAAAAACTGAAAGTATAAAAGAACTGGTGGTAAACTAGAAGTAATTTTTATTTCAGTCTTGTGTTTTCATGTATATTCTACAACATACTGAATTTTCTATAATACATATAAACTTGTAAATTTATTTAAAATTTTTAAAAAGACAAGTTAGAATGAAAAATTCATTTCAGAAGTTCTGCAAGAGCAATATTTGCTCACAGCTATAAAGAGTAGGTAGAAATGACAACAATAGGCCTTCTGACAACAATAGTCCAGGAATTTCTAAGTATTTAATCCATCTGAATACATTTCTCTCATCTATAGTTGCATCCTAGGCTAAAGGATTCAAAGGTATTACATCCTCTTAGGATTTTTTATAGTATGTATATTGGGATTGGGATTATTTCCTAACTCTTGAAATGACCAGATAAATGTATAGTATCCTTGTGGGAAGGGCACAAAGAGAGGTGGCTAAGAAATAGAAAATAACAAGATTTAACAATATGGTCCCAACATTTGTACCAAATTTTAGTCACAAATGGAAAGATGAGAGAGGCTCCATTTTCTCAAGGAAGAACTGGGGCCCTGGAAAATGCTAAAATAAGAATATCACCTTGATGGTTTTCAACACTCTATCTGTAATATGCATAGTTTTGGTAAGCTTATTTGCTTACCTTAAACTAGAAAAATACCTTATCTTTCAATCCATGTGAGGATTTGAAAAAATTTTTTGAAAGCTGGTTAAATTAAGAGTCAAAACAAGAAAGCACTTCATTAACATTTAGTACAGAGATCCTCAACTAACAGGGCATTTGGAAGGGGCATGGGAAGGAGGGGAAGAAGTGGTAAACACAAAAATCACCTGTGGAGTTTCTTCAACCATCACGTTTCCCTCCTCCAGAAGGGAGACCCCCTTCAGGCTGTCCCACCTTCACAGCAGGAAACGCCCCATTCCAGAGAGTCAACGCTGAGATAAGGATGAGAATGTACCTCATCTCTCGGATGTTTTGAGAACATGTCTCAGTCAACAACCCCAACTTCCATCCCCATTTTGCAGATGTGGAAAGCAAGGCTCTAACTGTCAAGCCCCTTCTAGGCCATCACGGTCACAAAGAAACATGTTGAATACTTTATGGCTCCACTCTAATCACCACTGATCAGACTAGGAGATGACCATCCAACCACAGACTGGCTGTCCATAGGTGCAACCTCTGCCATAGCCTGGCATCAAAAGACAAGCTGAGCAACATCCTGCTCTTGAGATGTATGCTCGTAAACGTAGGAGAAAGCAGCAGTAAGCAACAGAACTAAGGGAAAAAACAGGAGCGGAGAGGAGGGGTCAGGGAAAAGGGAGTTCATGAAGATGGAGGCACTAAGGGTAGGCAAAAGCTATAAAACAGAGAAAAGACTTACAGGGTAAAAACAGATAAAAACAGAGAACTCAACCCAAGGATGACGGTGGAGTTCCAGAGGGAAGATCCGTTAACTTTTACTGATGGTCTCTAGAGCCATCCTGGATCCAGAATCAACAGCTGCCTTCAATTTCTTTGAGATGTCACTCCAATAATGCTCCTGCTTTTGGATTTTCATGAATATTGTTTCCAGTATCATTTCACACATATTCTGTCAATAAGCCATCCCACCCCATCCCAAGCTAGCTTAAGCCTCTGCTCTGTGCAATCAAGAAAGTATATCTAGGACAGTCTGAGAGCAAGTTACCCAAGGTCATACAGTTCAACAAAATAAAGATTAGACCATTCAATTCCCTGGGACCTATAGCCATCTTCCTGCAACACTGTACCACAAAGACAAAAGGGAACTGCAGTGACTGAAGGTCATGATACATAAAGTAAACCTTAATAAAATGGTTTAAAAAGGGGTGAAGGAACTGGAGACAAAGTCCAGAGAGCAACTAAAATTGACACTAAAGTAATCTTCAAATGAAAACAGACTAATGAGTGTGGAGAAAGGAAGGCTACAAATGTCTTGAACTCTATAAAAATACGGAGAGAAAAGAAATAAACTGACCACTGACCCATTCACTGGATCACAGAATGACAACGTCTAAAAGGTGAGAGGTAGATTTTAAAAAATAAGGCATCAGTTTAAATACTAAACACTGGGAATTCATGTACCTAAAAGCTTCAAAACTGGTTTAGTTCAAAAACACGGTAAGACTGACCTCAAAGAGAACAGTCATGTCCCACATAGTACAACCCTTGGTGTCAGTGCCAGAGATATGAAGGATAAATCACAGGTCAGTCCATTAGGAAAATGAAATATAGCTTTATTATTTTCTTCTAGTTATAAAAATTCACATTTTGTGTAAAATTTCCAAACAGTGCAAAATAAATATTTTGAAACGTGTAAGTTTCACATAATCCAGCCACTAATAACTACAGTTAAGGTTCTGGTATGTGTCCTTCCAGACATCTTTATCTGCATACATAATATATTCTTATTACTAAAACACATTCATATCTTATAAGTATTTACTCTGCAACTTGCTTTTTGTCTCCTACTTTACCTTTTCTATATAATTACATATAGGTCAAACAGTTGTTTGAACAGCTGAATAGCATTTCACAGCATGGATGTATCAGTTTACTTAACTATTTTCCTTAACTATGTAAGGTTGTTGGTATTATTTTCCCTATTACAAACTTTTGAGTGAATGTCAATGAACATATATCTCATGTGCTTGTATGACTGTTTCTGTCAGATAAATCCCTAGAAGTGTTACTGTCAAAATGGCATCCTGGGGCTTCCCTGGTGGCGCAGTGGTTGAGAGTCCGCCTGCCGATGCAGGGGACACGGGTTTGTGCCCCGGTCCAGGAAGATCCCACGTGCCGTGGAGCGGCTGGGCCCGTAAGCCATGGCTGCTGAGCCTGCGCGTCCGGAGCCTGTGCTCCACAACGGGAGAGGCCACAACAGTGAGAGGCCCGCATAACGCAAAAAACAAAATAACAAAAGACAACAACAAAAAAAATGGCATCCTGATCTGGGGATAAAAACTATAGTGATTATGGCAATGCATACACAGTCAAGTAAATAAGACTCTAGATCTAATAGGCAGGCCATAGGACAGAAGGAGGACCTAGCAAGGAAATGGGACAGTAAGGCTGAACCAGCAAGGTCCTAAGACTCCAGACCTTCCCTCTGAAGAAATCTATACAATCACCTGAGTGGATGGGGACAAGTGTGAGCTGCCAGTTCTTCTGCCCTCAAGCCAGTCAGAGGTCCCCGTCTGTACTCAAATGTGGACAGCCTGACTCTGATCTGACAACAGATCATCTGGAAAGGCCAGAATGAAATTTGTGGAATGTAAAGCAAAAAACCTGAGGCCTGAAACTAATTCAGGAAGAGAAAGAAGGACACAAAAGATACAAAACCATTGTTCTTTAAAACACAGATCGATTTACCTTTTGCATAATGTAGTGAAATGGCACTGGATTTCATAGTGATCCCTCGGACCTGTTCATCCTCTCTGCTGTCCATGTACCTTAACTGTAAAAATGCAACATATGCATCCGTATTTCCCAATGAATTAAAATGTAATATTAAAACGGACTGATTTGCTTTTTGTTTTAAATACTTAAACTTTTAGGCTTATTGCCATGAAGTTGTTCGTTATGTCCCATTATTACCTTCTTAATCTCTGCAACATTTTTCTTTCCTAGTACCACTTATTTCTTCCACCTTTCCTTTCTCCTGATCAATTTCTAACTTTTTATCAGTTGTAATGCAAGACAATCACAAACTGTTTACATTGCTAGTATTTTTTTTAATAGGCTTTATCTTTTTAGAGCAATTTTAAGTTTATAGAAAAACTGACTGGAAAGTAAAGAGGTTCCCAAGCATCCCCTCTCCTCCTACACACACAGTTCCCCCTATTACTTACATTTTATATTAGTGCGTAGTGTGGTACATGTTACAATTAATGAACCAATATCAATACACTATTATTAATTAACGTCTATAGCTTACATTAGGATTCAATCTTTAAATGTACTATGACGTGTCCACCATCACTGTATCATATTTGTTAGCTGTATTAATCTTTTTGAAGAACAAACTGTGGCTTCATTGATCTTTTCTAATTCATTAATTTATGGTTTATTATTTCCTTTCATCTACTCACTTTAGAGTTATTGTACTTTTTCTCACTTCTCAACTGGGAAAAATAAAAGCACTTTATTATTTCATTCAACCCAGTTTTTTTAGCCTTCTATAGACAGTATCTTCGGCCAGTTCCCCACCCAACGTGCCTCAAATGCCCAAGTCTTCCTTCAGTCTCTTAGGTCTACTTTTTTAATTCAATTTTGCTTCTCTACCTCCTCTTCTCTATATTACCAGTCACCTGATAAATCCTACTGACTATATCGTAAATTCACTGAAGGGAGGAACATCTCTATCTTTCTACTGCAAATAAATTATTCCAATTTCTTTCAGTTCACAGTTAAAAACAAAGGTCTCTATCATTTCATTTCCTAAAACATGATCTTCCTTCGTCATGACCCTCAAGCTTCAGAAGCCTTCCTTTGGTACTTAGGTTAGCCTTCAACGTCTTTGTGATCTGATACATTTTTTCTACCTGCACCATTTTCTCTCTCAGTATAGGCAAACGTTCCACTCAAATCAAGCACAACCCACAAATTAGCCTTCATGCATTTTATCCACATTATTTCCCACCGTGAAGCATCTCTTCCACCTGTGAAATTTTCCACAATCATGCGAGGTTATCAAATGATTGGTTGCAAAAACTCATTCTTGCACTTATAAAATATTCATATAAAGTAACATAAAGCAATATAGAAATAACTTTTTCTCAACGATCTCTTTTATCTTGCTAAATGGACTGGCAGCTTCTTAGATGCATGAACTATGCTTCATACTTTTTCGATCTTTAAGAACACAACTAAGGACTCATCACATTGTAGATTTGCTAATACTAACTGAAATGCAAGTATATATCAAATATAACATACCTTGCCTGCCAGGCGGCTGGAGATAATGCCATTGCTAGATATAAGACAGTCAGCCAGAGTAGTTTTTCCTGTTAAAGTAACAATATTAATTTAAATCGATTTCTTTTTTTTAAAGGGTGAAGTAGGTAGATTGTATTGACAAATTTAACAACTAACCATAGAACTGGTTTAGCAAATATTTCCTGTTTACCTCTACTAAGTGAAGCAAGATACAACAGGCATTTTAATTAGAACTTTGAACAAAACGTCATCTGGAAGGACACAGATTCCAGCACTCCACAGTGCTGTAATCTGTATCGCCAACCCTGCGGATCAACCTCACTTTAAAATCCGTCAAGCAACATTTATTTTTAAGGACAGAAAAAATGTTTTTAATTCAGGCATAATTTACACAGAGCAAAGTGCACAGACTCTTAAGTGATAAGAAAAACCACTGTGCCAATCAAAATATAAAACGTCTGACAAACAACTTGTACAGTACTCAAATCTGTCCGACAAAGAATTTGATCAAGTTTATTGTAACTATTACATCAGTCATCAGATATCCATAACTGTGTCCAGGCGTATACACTTAAACTTTTTTTTTTTTTTTTTTGGGCGGTACATGGGCCTCTCACTTTTGTGGCCTCTCCTGCTGCAGAGCACAGGCTCCGGACGCGCACGAGCCCAGCCGCTCCACGGCATGTGGGATCTTCCCGTACTGGGGCACGAACCCGTGTCGCCTGTATCGGCAGGCGGACTCTCAACCACTGCGCCGCCACGGAAGCCCTAAACTTAAACTCTTGATAGCTCAGCGTGACAAAAGGATAGCACAGCAATCATTTTTTCCTCTGGATGATATACTGGGTAAAACATCACCAAAAAACAATGGAACATTATCTTTTGCCATATTTCCTCATGTATGGCCTCAGCTGGCTTTGGCCAGTTAAACTGTCTGCAGAAAATACCCATTTGGCAAAGAAATTCATGAAATTTACCCATATCTCCTACTGTTTGCAAGCCAATGGAGGGCATCAGCTACACTGCAGTGACCAATGCTACCTAGTATCCAAACATAAACCCAGGAATCTACTCTAATAATAAAAGAAATTCTTATGATACTCAAGTACCCATTTGGACCTTTAATACTGTATTACGTGCTTGTCATGTAAATATTATGTATTAGCATATAACCCTAGAGCGTCACTTTCCTGCTTCCAATGGAGTAGAACATTCTAAGTACGGAGAGCATATATCCCCCCAAATGCAAGTGTCAAGAAAGCAGCGACTTTGCTTTATTCACAACTGTATCTCTAGGACCAGAACAAGGCTTGGCATATAAGAAACATTCAATGAATTATCTGTTGAATGAATAAATGAATCACAGGTTTTCTAGGATAGTATTATCTTAACATACTTTTAAATGGTAAATTTTAAAGTAATTTGCTGTACACACACATGCCACTGACTTGCCGCATGATTTAATTCACAAAGCAAAAAAAATACTTTTGTCAAACATCATGTCCTCAAAACGTGAGCAGCATAATTATAGAAACTCATGGGGTAGGGTTAGCCACCAGATTTGTATACAAAACTCATTCTCAGTTGCCTTCACCTACAAAGTGATCCATCACCTCTCCCTTTAGTTCCCGTAACTACTTCACTTCAACTATTTTACCAATGGCAATAGCCACCTAACCTCTTTTCTGTCCTTCAATCCATCCAAAACACTCTCACCGGAGCATTCTTACTAAAGTACTATTTGATTACAACATCCCTGCTTTATTCTGTTCTCCCAATGTGTCCCTATTACCTAATAATAAATGCCAATGATCATCTTCATGATAAAGCATGTACCTGCCAAGGGCTTCTCCTTATCATCATTTAATCCTCACAATGCTATAAGGTAGGTTTGGTTTTTATTCCAGTACACAGAGGCTGTATACTGAAGCTCAAAAAGGCAAAGTAACTTGAAATGGAGTTTTGAACTCAGATTGTCTAACTCCAGAGCTGGAGCACTTAACCCATATCCTTGTGCCTAGCTGGCATGAAGGGCTCTTTAAGATACAGCCCAGCCTACCTCTTCACTTTTCTCTCTTACTCCCTCACCTTCAGGATGGTATATAGGTTTTATTTCACACTCCCAATCCTATCACTTTGCTGTGGCTACGTGAACTAAGAAGGAGTCTGAAACCAAGCGCGGGCTTAGCAGGAGGCAATGCTGTGGTATGAAAGCAATGTCTGTGAGAAGCTAAGCGCCATGCATCCCTGTCCCCCTCTCATGTCCCGTGCTTTGGTCACATACATTTCATTCTCCCCTTGCTGACATTATTCCCACTTGAAATGTGTGCCCCCATCTGCCATCTTGAATCACCCGTCCGGGGGGTCATCTCTAACACTGTTATAAAGCCCTTTTCTTAACCCATTACTAGCTTCCCGACCCTCCAGTTCTCTCAACCCTTAGAGTCTACTTTTTGCCTGCCTCACGTTGTGCTGCCTCAACCCCCAAATCACCTCTCTATATAGCTGGGCTGGTGCCCTGTGCATAAATCCTTACCTTCTGACATAGCTAGCAAAATACCTCGAACTTAGCAGATGTTCAATAAACATCGGACGAGTTAAATAGAATCACATAACACAGGTTCTGAGGACATTATGTCAAGGCTACAGACGTATTATATTACAAAGCCATTTCAAAATACTTGACAAATACTAAAAAACTCAACTTCTCGTTTAAAAGACAACAAAATATACTACATAGAAGAATAACAATCACTAGTTAGCTGTGTTCCTCCCACAGCAAAGTTTTAAAGGAAATAAGACTTGCCACTTAGCAAGCATCACTCTCAACTGCCCACAGCATCACTCCACTGACACGTGTGGAGACACACCCCCTTAATTACTGAAAATAAGCCATTTAGAAAGGATTCTTACCATGGTCAACATGAGCCAAAACACAGATATTCCTGATGTTAGCCGTGTTTTTCTGGAGTTGAATCATCTTATCCAAACTGTTCAGCACCATGGTCACTTATTTCCTGTGACTAATAGTTAAACATGTATTACAAATGGCTGAAGATCGGGGCGTTAAAAGATAAAAGTTTCTACTGCTGGGAATTGACAAGACTTCTCGAGTCCCTTAAAGTAATAACCCAACGGATGCTTACTGAAGGGACAGACCCATCCAGGCCCAAGTCCAATTTGAGCACTTCAACAAATACTGTACCACGACTGTACTTGCGGAGTTTACTCATCCTTCCGGATCGGCCCTTTGCGATGAATCACAAAGCTCGTGGGGGTTGGGTGCACAGTGACACCTGGAACTCTGCCCCGTACTGTGGCATTATTTCTCCAGGTCAGTGATTACATACTGGAAGGGTCTTATGCAGGAGGGAGAGAAGATGCCGACATCTCTCTCTTCCCCTGCTCGATCCTTTTCCAAGCCTCTCCTATCACTCCCACTTGCTTTCACTGGAGGTAAAACACCCAGCTTCCCGACTACATTTTGGGGTCACGTGCAGGTGCACTGAACGTCTTCCATTCCTTTCCACACTGGGGAAACCAAGAAAAAACAAACCCTCAACTCTACATTCCCTTTATCCTCACTCCCTTTATCCTCACTCCCTTTTTCTTTGAAGATCCCGGGTCCGCACTGAGAAACGGCCGGGCCGGCCCAGACACTACGCTCGCACGGCAGCCGCTCTCAGCCCGGGCTCGCTCCTAGCTCCGTCCACGCCCTGCCGCCGCGGCGACCCGGGACCCCCACTGCCTGGAGTTGGCGGAAGAGGACGCCCGGACGCCTGCGGGCCCGGACGCCTGCGGGCCCGCACTTACCAGCTACCACCGCCCAGCCAGCCCAGCTCGAATAACAGCGCCGACCACACCACGCGTATCACAAGCCCCCTGACCTCCGCATCCACCTTACGCCCGCGCGCCGGAGGCGGGGCTGAGAACGCACGACCTTTGACCCGCCTGCGTCTCTGGCGTCGCCGGAAGCAGGCGGAGCATCCGTTAGCCGCGCGCCCCGCCGGTTACCTGGACTGAGCCCGGCGCGGTGGAGCTGAAGAAGCTGCGGCTGCGGAGAAGCTGTGGAGCTGGGCCCGCGAGCCGGGAGCATGAGGACCTGGTGTCTGTGTCAGATTTGTACCTGCGGGTAAGAAACGGCCGGTGTGGCGGCCGCCGGGGCTTGGAAGCGAGCTGGGGTCTCGGGGAACGGAGCCCTCAGAGTGGCCGCCCCGCCAAGGTGGAGGACGCGGGCCCAGCGACGTCCCACTTATCCCCGAGTCCGCAGATGCTCGCTGTTCACCCGCCAGCTACCGCGGGTTAAGCAGTTCTGCTTTGTCAGCTCCTATCCACGGGCGCAAACTGAAACGCTGTGGCGCCAGGCGGATGATATACACCTGTGTAGCAGCGGCTGGATGTCAGGCTGCCAAGTGTGGAGACCTGATCCGACGGGGAGAGTGTATGCCCACAAAATTTTTTTTTTAATTTATTTATTTTTGGCTGTGTTGGGTCTTCGTTACTGTGCGAGGGCTTTCTCTATTTGCGGCAAGCGGGGGCCACTCTTCATGGCGGTGCGCGGGCCTCTCACTATCGCGGCCTCAGTTGTTGCTGAGCACGGGCTCCAGACGCGCAGGCTCAGTAGTTGTGCCTCACGGGCCTAGTTTTTCCGCGGCATGTGGGATCTTCCCAGACCAGGGCTCGAACCCGTGCCCCCTGCATTGGCAGGCAGATTCTCAATCACTGCGCCACCAGGGAAGCCCCTATGCCCACAAAATTTAAAATAAATAAATAAAAGGAAACGGAAGGAGAGTAGAACGGTGTGCAAGTCTATGAGTTTTCGACCTGTGTTAGGCTTTCTTCTGTTCCTAGCTTTCCATCCCCGCCTAACCATATTCCCGTTCCCAGTCCCATCCAGACTGCTTTCCTTTGGGATCTGACGGACTGAAAAGGTAGTAGGTAGTCTCCTGAAACCCAGAATTGGTCAGTGAGCCCTGCCTAAGCTGTAAGCAGTCATGTCCTTCCTCAGCTTCCTTGCTGACCCAGGGATTAGACGACTATTTGCTAAATAAATATTATGAATATGTCAATCCTGTCGTACTGTAATCCCCTCCAAAGGAAAAACACTTCACATGGTGATGGAAAGCAGTTTCCCCGTAGTTTCATGGTAAATGTTGTTTTTAATTACTAATTGGATGTAGATTAGAAGATAAGTCAGCCTTTGAGGATTTGATTCATATGTGAAAACCCTGATGGCCAAAAAAATTGATTAATTTTTTTTCTAATCTTTAAATTAATTTCTATCCAACCTAAGTTCCTTTCCCATCCAGCTGTCAGGAAATTTCAGTCTTCATTATGTTGAAGGCTTCCTTTTTCCCAAGCAGTAAAACGGTCCAGGGAGCAGAGGCATTGCCAATGCAAGAGGAGTCTTCTCTGGGCTTTAAACATTGGTAATGCTTCCCACTGAAATGTCTCTTGCTGGAGTTCACATAATCCCTTCAAGAGTGGTGCCACCGCTGCTTTGAAGTTTATGTTTGAGGTACAAGAATCTTGGCAAAGCTGGGAGCCATTGTTGTAGGGTTCCACCTAACCAACTCTTGATATCCGGCCACCTCCTGGATCACTGATAGAATGGGGCAAAGACGCCTGCTCTTCTAAGAACTCCTTCCCCCTCATCTTCTACCTCCTTCCTCTCTCTGGGGAATCGTCCCCTCTTCCCTCTTTTGCAGTTCAGGACCACCTGTTTCCTCTTAGGACCTCATTTCCAGCAGAACATCTGATTTCATCTCTTCATGAATTGTGTTTAAAAAGACAGGAGAACGTGTTGACTTCAGGCAGCTTATATCCTCGGCCCTTCCAAAAGTCCTACAAGAAGGAAATGTCAGGGTCCTGACTACCTGCTTGAAATAAAGGAGGGGAAAAAACCAAGGAGAACAAACTCATTAATATTTCAATACATTGCCTCTCTTTAGGAGGATCAAGATTGTCAAAGAGACCACTTCAGGGAAATTTTGACCTGCATCTGCTACTTTTTCATCTTGCTGTTTGAATCTTTTTTTTTTTTCATACTATGTAACTAAATCTTTTCAAATGTCTGTTTCTTTCACTATATCAGTCAAAACAACCATCTATCTCAGAATATCGTTTTCTCTGCAATGTGTATATACAATTGCTCAGGTGCGTTAAACTATGATAAGTTATTTATGTTTGCATAGGCGACATCATTGCCCACATGAAACCACAAGGATTTATGAAAATTCTGACTTGTCTTGTCCCACAGCTGAATATTTGGAAAACTATCCTACGTATGGCAGTGTTCTTCCACCTCAGAGTCTGAAGCCCAAGGAAGAATTTCCAGCATATCGTTGTAAAATGGAAGGAATAACAACATTTAAGTAAGTATCAAGAAACTGTTTGCTTTACCTATTTTTCTCCCCACTCTTCTGGGGTTTTTTGGTTTTTGAATTTTTGAATTTTATTTTATATTTTTTATACAGAAGGTTCTTATTAGTTATCCATTTTATACATATGAGTGTGTATATGTCAATCCCAGTCCCACTCTTCTGGTTTTAATAAGGTGTTTTTGTTTTAAACTCTTTAAACTATTTAGTTGATTTAAGTTGAACCAGTTGACTAGTTGAGTCACAACTTGAGGAAAACAGAAAGATGAGAATTAAGTTAAATGAGAAAAATGAGAAGGAAAGGGGATATATAAAAAGTTCTATTGATTGTTTTTGTTAACCTCCTAAAATCTCTTGTGTTTATCTGTTTTCCATTGTGACCAGAACCTAGAGGAATGCAGCAGCTTCCTAATGGTTATGTTTGTATCTACTCTAGCTTTTGCATCTCTGATCTGTTTTCTAACTTTAGCCAAGATGACCTTTTCATATACTGTTTATTTTTTATTTTATTTTTTTATTGAAGTATAGTTGATTTGCAATGCTGTGCCAATCTCCGCTGTACAGCAAAGTGACTCTGTTATACATATACAGACATTCTTTTTTTATATTCTTTTCCATTATGGTTTATTGACAGGATATTGACTATAGTTCCTCATGCTATACAGTAGGACTTTGTTGTTTATCCATCCTATATATAATAGTTTACATCTGTTGGGACTTCTCTGGTGATCCAGTGGGTGGGACTCTGTGCTCCCAAGGCAGGGGGCCCGGGTTCCGTTCCTCGTCGGGGAACTAGATCCCGCGTGGATGCCACAGCTCAGTGTTCACATGCCGCAGCTGGGAAGCCTGCATGCCGCAACTGGAGATCCCGCATGCTGCAGCTAAGACCTGGTGCGGCCAAAATAAATTAAAAAAAAAAAAGAAAAAGAAAAGAAAGTTTACATCTGCTGATCCCAAACTCCCAGTCCATCCCTCCCCATCCCCCACCCCCCTTGGCAACGACAAGTCTGTTCTTTATGTCTGTCAATCTGTTTCTGTTCTGTAGATAGGTTCATTTGTGCCATATTTTAGATTCCACATATAAGTGATACCACATAGTATTTATCTTTCTCTTTCTGAGTTATTTCACTTAGTATGATAATCTCTAGTCACATCCATATTGCTGCAAATGGCATTATTTTGATCTTTTTTATGGCTGAGTAGTATTCCATTGTATATATGTACCACATCTTCTTTATCCATTCATCTGTCGATGGACATTTAGGTTGGTTCCCTGTTTTGGCTATTGTGAATAGTGCTGCTATGAACATAGGGGTGCATGTATCTTTCTGAATTAGAGTTTTGTCTGGATATATGCCCAGGAGTGGGATTGCTGGATCATATGGTAATTCAATTTTTAGTTTTCTGAGGAACTACCACACTGTTTTCCATAGTGGCTGCACCAGCTTACATTCCCACCAACAGTGCAGGAGGCTTCCCTTTTCTGCACACCCTCTCCAGCATTTTTTATTCATAGACTTTTTAATTGTGGCCATTCTGACTGGTGTGAGGTGGTACCTCATTGTAGTTTTGATTTGCATTTCTCTAAATACTTAGCGATGTTGAGTAAGATGACCTTTTTAAAATGCAGATCTAATCGTGTCACCTCTCTGCTAAAACTGCTGTTATATTTTCCCATTATATTTAATGTATACCAAAATCCCTTCATTGTTTGCTCCCTGCTTTCTTCTCTGATTTATTTTCACTGTAATGCCCTTTGCACTCTTACGGTTACATCTCATAGGACATGTTTCATTTCTTGGAAGTACCAGGCTTCTCTTGTCACAGAGCCTTCCAAGATACTATGTTACCTGCGTGGAATTTTTCCTGCCTCTTTACCCTAATTAATGCCTATTCAACCTATAGCTCTTAACTCAGTTATCACTCTGAAAAGGCTTCACTGACACTCATCCAGTTTTCAGGCTAGGTAAAGGTCCCCTATGTAAGTTCTCAAAGCATCTGCCTATTATTTATCATTAGATTAGTTTCAGTGTTCCATGAAAGCAGGAACTATGTCTGTTCTTACCTCAGCATTCTATTTCCAGAAACCTGTTACAATGCCTACTAGCTCATAGTGGGCACTCACTATTTACTCAGTGTGTGAAAGACAAAAAAGTCCATTTAAGCCTAAACTTTTCGTTTGGACTCAGCTTTTTTGATCTTTGTCAGTTCAATGGGTTCTTTTCTCTATTTTCTTAATGTGTACACTGTATTCAAGGTACAGTCTTAGGCATTAAGTGTAAAATTATCAATAAAGAGAGGTTCTTGCTTTCCAGGAACTCATACATCAGCTTTCTATAATTTAGGGTTTTTGAAATGCTCTGTAACAACTTTAATTTTTAGTGCTATCCATTTTCTTTTCATTTCAGATAGAGTTTATTTTACTTACCTAGCAAAGGTGGAGACCTTCAAACTTTTACTGCAGTACTTATACCTTTAACATTTCAGACAACTCTTGCAGTGCTTTGGTGATTCCAGTTACTTCCCTCATACTTTGGTGTGATTTGGAATCATCTAGAAAGGTTAAAATTGCAGATTCCAGAGCTCCACCTAAAATAGTCAGTAGACAATGAAGTGGATCCCAGGAATATGCTTTTTTTTTTTTTTTTTTTTTTGCGATACGCGGGCCTCTCACTGTTGTGGCCTCTCCCGTTGTGGAGCACAGCCTCCAGATGCGCAGGCTCAGCGGCCATGGCTCACGAGCCTATCCGCTCCACGGCATGTGGGATCTTCCTGGACCGGGGCACGAACCCGTGTCCCCTGCATTGGCAGGCGGACTCTCAACCACTGTGCCACCAGGGAAGCTCCTATTCCTTTCTTTCTTGATGCCTTAATGATTCATAACAGAAATTTGAAATAAATTTCACACTATTCATATTTATTGAATAAAGATTTTGCATTTAACCAACTCGAAGTGTTAAAACCAGGAAAGTTTAACCTGCCACATCTTTCTTTAAAAGGCAATTGCTTTTCAATTCTGGGCTTTCTCAGTTGCCTTGTTCAAGTAGCCTGTAATAGTAAACAAATAAAATAAAATAAAAAAAGAAATGTCCCAACTCCCAAAAGGTTCAAATATGCCAACAAAAGTAAAACTTCCATTTCTTAAATCATCATCTTTCCACTTACTAAAACATTAGATCTTTTCTTCATAGTTTGACTAGGGAACTAGCAGTATTTCCAAGAGCCATATTCGAGGGGTTTGGAACTCTTGCTTGACTCCCTCATGGTGACCATGTTGACTAGGCAGTAGAAAGCAGCTGATTCATCTGTACAAACAAAGAATCGTGTCATTCTGTTCTATACTTTTCTATAATATAAGAAGAGACTGTGTAAAGAGCAGATGTCTGGACTTGTACCGGACTTTTGATCCTTTATAGCATTACAGCTGTAGCACAGTAGATGATTGCCAGAGTTGGCAGGAAGTCTGCCCTGAAAGTATGATTCCAGACATGTCAAATGTTTTAGGATATATCAGATGAAGAGTGCATTTACCCTTTACTACTTCTCCATAGAAAGTTGCTTTGGGTTTGGAGGTAAACTTTCTAACTCTTAACTAATCTTACTAGAGAAACTAAGACTTCTAAGCTTTCTCTGTCCTCTCTACTTCCTGATTGCGTTTTAGCCTGTTCCTCTCTAGCTGGTATTTGGGAAGAGCAAAGAACAACTCAGATGTCTTGAGAAGCAGAGGTATGGGATTTCTACTATTATTTATCCACTAAATAATATTTCATAAGCATTCGTTAAGTGTCAGGTGCTATGCTAGGCACCTGGGATACAGTGGTGAGCAAAACAGTCATGATCTCTGTGCTCACAGACGTTGCAGTCTCGTGAAGGTGGCAGTCAAAAACATCACTCAAAATAAGTATAAAATTGCAACAGTGATCAAATCTATGAAGGATAGGCGCAAGGTAACTTCGGATCCAGAATAAGAGGCTTGACTTTATCAGGGAAATGAGAAAAATGAGCTAAAATCTGAAGGCTGTAAAGCAATTAACTGGATTAAGACTGTAAGAAAGTGCCTTCCAAGGAGAGAGCAGCATGTAGCAGGAAGGAGCATGAAAAGAAGGAAATTGTCAGAGAAGGCCAGCAGGAGCAGAGGAAGCAAGAGGAAGCACAGTGTGATTTGAAGCTAGTGAAAGAGGCCATGTTCAGTTTTTTCTGTATCCTTAGAGCAATAAGAAGCCATTGAAAGTTTCTTTTCTTTCTTGTTTTTTGTTTGTATGTTTGTTTGTTGAGGGGGGTACGAAAGAGAGGTGAGGAAGAGGCTAGGGAGATGAGGGCAAGAATGACCTGATCAAATTTATGTGTGAAAGGATTACTTTGGGTGCAATGTAAGAAAAGATTGGAGAGAGAACTAGTAAGTGAGTTTAGGAAGGTATTGAATTGATTTGAATGAGCTATTATGAAAGCTTGGAATGGTGATGAGAGAGAGAAAAGCGGATTTAAGAGATATTTAAGAGGCAACATTGACAGGAGTTGATGATGAACAAAATGTAGGAGGGAGGTAAGGCGTGAAGGGTTAGTCCTAGGTTTCTGAGTACAGCTGAAGAGATGGTGATGCCAGTCAGTAAAATAGGGAACAAGCCAATAGGCCCAGATTTGTTGGGGGGAAATAGTTTGATTAGGGGTATACTAAGTTTTGAGGTACCACTGAATATCCAACAGGCCACTGTAAAAACTGGTACGGAGCTAAGAGAGGAGGTCTGAGTGGAGACGTACGAGTGAGAGGTGTTTCCATATAGTTAGTAATTGCAGCTGTGGGAGTAGAGGCGTTGTCCTCAGGAGGGAACGTTGGGTGAGAAGAGGAGAGTGGGTAGCCCCAGTGTCGAGGAACTGCCCAACTTCATGACTGACTATAGGAGGGCGAAGCTGCGTAGGAGACCAAGAAGAAATAATGAGGAAGGCAGGGAGAGAGAATTTCTCAGAAATAGAGGGAGTGGGCAATAATGTCAATT